CCCAAGGGCCACGGCTCTAGCCACGGTGGCTCTTCTTCGGGCGACAGGGCTCTGAACGGTCTCGATGCTGCCGGCAACGTGATCGGTATTGGTGCCGATATTACCACTATCGTGGATGCTGCCAGCCAGTAGTGGCTAATTGTTTTGGCGTCTTCAGGGATGATATCACACATTAGACGGACAGAGCGGGCAGCTACGGCGTTGGTTTGAAAGACAATTATGTTTGTACTTTGCTTTCTTGGTTTTGTTCTGTTCTCTTTTTTCTAAGCATATTTTGCAAGCGAGTGGTATTTATGGGTCTATGGAGGCAAGGCGTTGGGGTAATCTGGTTCTTTGTTCTGCTTTGCTTTTCCTGTCTGCTTTAGTTTATCTTTGTCTTTGTCTTATCCTATCCTCATTACTCCTGTTGTCTAGATGGCTTCTGAACAGTTGAATATATCCTATTGAAACAGTACTCTTGATTCTCTCGTACTTGTAGACTTTCGTAACAAGAAGCTATGGCTCAGAATCGGTTCAAAGTAGTTTTTCATATTCGAATCATTCTATCTTCTCTTCTCTTCTCTTCCTTTTTTCTCGTCCTGTTGTTGTTTTCTGTTTTGGTCCAAGTAAAGAGTATTTGCACTTGAAATAGCAAAGATGAATGCCTAAAGGGGTACAATGTTATAAATAAATTATTTCGCGATAAAATGGTTAATGTACCTCACATGCGAATGTAACACGGGCGAATGTAATACGAAATCGCTTCGACGCGACTACTGAATTCCACGACAAATATCACCATAACCAAGCATGCTTCAGAAACATAATAAAAGCCAAGTGATATTGGCCCTTCAAGCTATGCAAAAAGACAAAAATCTAAGTGCCTTAGCCGCTGGTAGTAACTAACATGTGGGCAATGGGGAGCTTAGTCGCCGCCAGCGTGGCATGCGATCACGATGCAATATATCAACCAATTCGCGGAGACTCACTGATCTAGAGGAATTGATAATTGTCTAACACATACTTGACCTAGATTCTAAAGGGTTTCCTCCTCGGCTGTCTGGTGTGGAAGATATGGCCAGCTGACTACTCGCAACGCGCAACGCAGGACGTGTTGAGGTAAACTAGGCTAGCACCTTTGTCAAACAGCACCCAGAGCTCACAACCCGTTTCAATCGGAATTATGACTATCAGGAAGCTCTATGCGAAGATCCAGGAAGTCATTTATCGTTAGTTTACGCTTGTTCGAAACATAATCACGAAGTATAGCATCCAGGAAGCAGATGTCTATAACTTCCGACGAAACTGGGTTTCAGATGGGAGTGATCTTGACTACAATAGTTGCCACAAGCTCCGAACGACATGGCAAAGCATAAATAAAACAGCCTGGCAATCTTGAACGCTGTTGGCGTCCTTAGGAAAGGCGCAACGAGGATGATGCACAAGATGGATTTGATGGAGGCAGAGATTCATGATCTTCAGGCGGCAAACGAGGCACTTGGCAAACGCTCGAGGGCCAAAAAAAAAAAAAAAAACACGTCTAAGGAAAGGAGGGTCGCTTTCTATACAGAAAGCTCAGGAACTAGGCGACCAAATGGAGATTGAGGTACAACCAAAGGAGGAAACACGCATTAGGGCTAGTCGGCGACCGCGGGCCGAGACACGCACGTGGCGTTGTGGCAATTGCAAAAAGGCCAGACACAATGCGCGTTCCTGTCAGATAGTAGTAGAGATGTCTGAGTACGGCGGTTCAGAATAGTTTTTAATGGCATTTTAGGTGCATTGATGGAAACGTTGGGGTTAAATTCGCGGTAGAGCGATTTCGTGTGACATTCGCATGTGGAGCACGTTATTTAATTCTGCATACAATAATCATATATATATGTATATATATGTGCGCTGTGCTGGGTGAGAACCCCGCTGGTTATCTCTCCAACTAAACATACTGCTAGAGCAACAGGCGCGTCCTGGACACTATACGCCTCGGCCAATCATTATCTCCTGGGCATACCATCATATTATACCATCAAATTGTACCCTTTTTAACTGCGTTCTATCTTCAGCTAGCCTATCTATACGTAGGTATAAAAATCTTGGCATGTATTCTTTCTTAGTACCTCATTTCTCACGGAGTCGGTGTTCGCGGACAAGCAGCCCTGAAATCGAAACAAGTGCAGCACATGCTAGGTCCATGTCTTGTTTGTCCATGTTAGCATCGGCTCTTCCATTGAAGATATTAGGTCCTTAAAGAATACTGCCTGAAAGCTTGCGATGTATGCAGGCAGCGTGCGTCTTCGAAGCGTTTCATTGGCATTTTGAACGAACCTGATATCTTGCAATGCCCTCCGTACGGACTATGATCCTGCCAGGTATCTCTTAACTCAAGCGATAGAATACTAACCTCTTTCCGGTTGGTGTTTGTTTTGAAGACCGTGAGCAATCCACGCCGTAATGTGACTTGATGGAGGGCGCTAGCCGCGCTGGTACCAAGAACTCCCCCAATATTTCCGCTGAGGTAAAATCCTGACCTTGTGATGGCTTCGTCCTCATCCGCCACACCATTCACGAGTGATATAAAGACTGCCGGGTGAGCAATTCCCATTCCAAAACTTCCTGGTGGGCTTGTGTTTCCACGCTAGTAGATGATTATCGACGCAAAAGTAAACATCGAATTCACTGATGCCACCATGATAGGTAGTTTGTAACGGCGATATCTGGGTGTTGTGAGTTGAGGCACAGGGACTTCCGTCTATGAAGTTCGGGTATTAACTGACCTCATAAATTCATCTGCCTGTAAGATGACCTCCCAGCGTATTGCCAATGATGACCGGGATAAGATAAACCCCCGCAGCAGCCGGACTTGCTTTTTTTGTCACTTCCCAGTACAGTGGAACTGTAACCATAAGCTGCCAGCACTGTCAGCCACGTTGGTAATCAGTCTAGCTAGGGCTCATACAGCTATTTGTATCAAATTCTGGAGCGCAATCAATGTATAAGAGTTAAACACAGGGCATTGTGCTACAACCTGAGTTGAAACATTGGCTCTTGCGTCCAGTTATTTTCAATGGAAACGAACATAATGCCACTCGCGAGAGCAATTGCAGCTGCACTGATTATTATGGGATGATTCCATAGGAGCTTCTGCCCACGTGTATTAAGTATGAGTAAGGAAAATGCAATACTGAGACTCATAGAAATTGCTCCTGCAATGTCTAGACCGCGGCAACTCCCATGGGACTAAAATATTTTTGGTCTCATTCCCCATTCCCCATTCCATTTTCCAATGGAAGTTTCATGAGGTACCTAGTCCCGCCAAATAGGATGTCCCATTTCCCATTGGGAATTCCCAATACTCCCGCCAATGCCACTTTTTGTGCATAACTAACCCAAATATGATGCATAATTTGCTGAGTGTTTATCTTAAAATACCGTTCTTTACGGCTGTTCTGGTCATGACAATTAGTTCTGATAGTATTTGGCAATTCGTAAAGTGAAACCAAGAGAAACTTGCCTGTATCTTAACGTATTTGACATAATACGTGCTTAACTTCATATAAATGCGATCAAAAAGATATATTGGTAGACCATTAGAGTGGGGTTTTGGCAGCATCTCTAATGTGCTGGTGAGAATATGTATTTTCTACTATGCATAGTATGGACAATAAATTTGATTGAACATTGATACTACGCGTAGTGAGTATACGCTCACTGTTTTCCTCACTACTATGACCTATAAATTTTTATCCTGGCGATGCGTATCCATAGTCTATCTTATACGTTGAACTAGCCACTTTGATCACAGTTGTACCTATAAACTCCATTAGTCTATATAATATCATTGAATTTGAACCCGTCACGAGGCCTGTAAAGAAATGCTCAAAAATACAGTCGGAAATTGTATATTTTATGCAAGCCATGTGGTATTCGATGCTTGCGTTGTTTTTAGTCCCACGGGATTTCCCAAACTCCCGTTGGAAGTTCCAAGGGGATATTGGTCCCGCCCAATGGGACTAATAGTTAGGCCCATTTCCCACTATGGACGGGAATGGGAATTCCTGTTGAGACCTGTCCCATGGGAAATGCCGCGGTCTAGTTGGGTTTGTGCAGGTTCTCTGGGTTGGGGTATACCCGCCAGGAGTTTACAGTACATTACCTTAGTATTACTTAGGCGACTAAGAAGTTCCATAGTAATTCATTAATTAACCAAAGCACAATATATCCAATCCTCATCCTAATTTATGTTCTACTGAGCTAAATGGGTTGAGAAAACGGTATCGTCCACACATATGCTCTCCCCTTCCAGTTCCATCATGCCAACCCGATACTGCGCTACTGGTCCCATCCAGACAGGCCTGTTGGATATCAGTATGTATACACAGGAACTGTTTCATCCAATTCAAGTCGAGTGGTGAATTGCTTCAGATCAGAAACTTCTGCATCGTAGGGGCACTCAGGAGTCCCCGCGGAGTGGCTAGGAGAGAAAATCCAGAGAAGCTTGAGGAATCACGGCTACCAGTGCAAGGAAGCACCATTATCAGGAGCCTGAAGCTTGTCCGTATTTTCTGTCCCAGCAATACCCACAGGGATCTCTAAGAGCCCCTGCGAAAAGGAACTAAATTCTGTCAAATCACTTTATCGGCTCGTGCAGCCTGTTCAAATGCTTTTAAGGAGGAGCGGAGTAAAGTGACATAACCACCGTTTCAGGGTCAAACAGGCCAATTGTTTTCATCAGGTCTTGCACTGCTGAAATGTCTTTGCTGCTATCAAGATACACAGCCCCAAGGATGACTTCCACAGTGTCGGCCGTGAGTCTCTTCGACACGCCGCGCTGAGAAGGATTTTTGAAGATAAATTCGTTGAGGTTGTCATGGGATCCTTGTACAGCGAGATATGCGTTTCTGCATTTCGCACTGACGATGTCGTTGATGGTGTCTGATACAAAAACTAAGTCTCACTCTTTGTTGGTTGTTCTTGTTCATCTGACCGCTGGGGTATAGTAAAAGAGATCAGTTGGAGATGGCTTTTATCGTTCTGTATGTATTCCATCCCTTGGTCAGAATCTGGTTTTAGCTGACTCGACTAGCAAAACAAAAGGCCAGACAAGTGGCCAGGTTTATTACAGCTCATGATGTACTCCATGGCGGTCCAGCTCAGTGCAAACAGGCGGGAAAAAGCCGACTGCAGGGTATTTGGATTCATACAAAAACCACCTGGGCGATTGACATCAGCTTTACATCTCAGAGTATTACTTTTGAGTGATCAGAAAAAAAGGATAATGTTGTGTTCCCTCATATGTTCTTCATGACAGCATGGAGTCGTCCGCGTATATAATCCGGTCAAGTCAGGATATACTATTATTCACGATTACAAGAATGACCTGCAAGACAAATATCGATTCGGAGAGCAGGAGACTTTCAAGGTCTCAGAAGACGGAGAGCGTCGGAAATACGCAGTCGATATCGAAATGTAAATGTCTACAGGAAGCGTTCGCTGTATCCCAGAGCGAGACTTTAGCGTATTCGATGCTGTTAGTCAGGATGGTAGAAGCAATTTGTGGGGTGTCAATGGTGGAAGAGTCCGCTGCTCTAATATATATCAGGAGAATGTATTTATGATTCATTTTGTTTCGAACGTGATGACTTGGCTATTATCTCTATGCTCGTTGATATAGTCGATGCAGGGTGAGAGCTTAATCGATCTTTAGGTTCAAATGTGATTTGACTTGTTTGTTCTCCTTGTATAACCTATATACATATTGAATAACTGAGCTAATCTAAACTGGTATATAAGAGATGGCATTTCCATCATTTGTAGTGCCATTCTTTTCTTCCACATTTCTCCAGGCTCTGTTACTTTATACTGGTGCCACGACTGTCAAGACAGCTTCTTTGTTGCGACTATAAGAATCGAGACAAACCAAACACTGAGCTTTTCTTTGATTTGCTTGCCTTAACCGGCTGCTGCTCCTCTAATCCCATCAATTGATGCACCGCCACATGCGCCCCCTTTACACCATAATCAGTCGAACACACCACCTCATTCGGAATCTCTACAAATTGCCCTATCAACCCAAGATTCGTCATACCCTCGGGTGTGATCTGCGGTCGATCGGAAGCCACCCGTGGCAGCAGCATCGATGTCATCCGCGGCAAAATGCATGGAATTGTGATTGCATCGCAGGTTATCGTATCCAATGGGAATTTTAAATGATGTAGTAACTCCATCATGATTTCCTCACCCGAGCAGTTGATCATGGGCTTCTTGATAAAATCCCCCGTTTTCTCTGGGTGCATTGCATAACCCCAGAAAACTTGCACGCCGGGCGGTTGATCTGGGAAGAACGGTTGCCGCGGCACACTCATGTTCAACAGCCAAGTGCTATCTTTTAATGTCACGTATGGGACAGACCCCGGCTGGTCGCCTGTGAGCGCGACGAGCCGGTTGAAAAATTCTGGGGATCTTAAGGTGACGGTGAACACTTCAAGACGGGACTGCAGCATACGTGTACAAAAGTTATACGCGTTTCCGAATTTGGGATGTTTCGTGCATAACTCCAGCCATAGCAGCCAATTTTCGTCCAGGTCTTTATGGATCTCAATGAGCTCTAGATCCGGGGGCGTTGTGTTGGATCCTGTCGCTGCGCCGGACATGATATTGCCCAGGGAGACAATGGCGATGTCGTTCTGGGAGAGGTTGATTGTTCCCTTTTTGGGTTCATTCGCTTTCGTCCATTCGATGGCTGACACTCGGTGGCATTTGTCAGGGGGGTCCATGATGATATCGGTGACTGTCGTGTGGCATTGAAAGTCGACGCCACGAGACTCGAGGAAGGCTGCCACTGGTTCTGTCACGGCATGATGGAAGTTGACGCGGCCTTCGTAGACAGGATGGAAGTCGCTCAGCCCGTGGCCGTTGTGCATGAAGCGGCGGATATAGCGGTGGAACTCAGCTGCGCTGTGACATGGTTGGAAACCGAACCTATGATGCAGGGCGATATGGTTATGTGGGTTCAAAGCAAAGAATTGGGGCTGCAAGGGTAAAGTCCCTACGTAGTAGCGATCATCAACCAGTAATCACTCCTGAAAAAGCTCTCATGGAAGTGATCAAGGATGCGCGATCGTTCTAGCGATTGCTCCGTCTTTCCAGACAGTCTGGACAAATCCCTACGATCTCGAAAACCCAGGCTGACCTGTTTGGTGTTGGTGCAAGAGATTTTACCCGACCTTTCCGCCAGAAACCGCGTATATAGCGTCCTGTCAGAGGGCCCAACTTCATAAAGCTCCAGAACATCATCGAGAGCCGTCTTCCCTGGCCGAGCCTGTGAAGGAACTTTACAAAGAAGATCCTCAACCCAGACACCACTGAACACAGGCACTGCTCCACTCCGATATTCATAGCCATTGACCGGGTCGCCGGCGTTCACTGTACATTCCCCGGCCTTGCCGATGGTTTCGAGGATATGCACACGGTTTGGCGGTACTTTGGCTTCTTCGATCAAGTACACGGCGGCTGCAAGAGATTGCACGCCGCTGCCCAGAATCCAGGCGTCCATATTATTTCGTTGGCGATGATCCATTTGCAAACGTGACGGTAGTGGATGGAAAGTGTTATAATGGGAGGGAGAATTAGTCCAAAGATAAAAAAAGGTTAGAGATGAAAAATAGTAGCAACCTACTGTGTGATGTCAAGAAACTCCGTCCCTTTCGCTCCGGGTTTGGGGTGACAGCCGCCGCAATTCCGGTCCGACCCATGACGCCACGACTAACCAAAGTTAAACGTCGAGGTAAAACTCTGTACTAATTTGGACATAGGTCAAGGTGTTTTGGTCAAGGTAACATAAGCCGTAGCAGTATAGTTAACTATCATTAGACAAAGACATAATGAGGTCATAACGCTTATATACATCTAAAACACAACCCTAATCTCCGGTCCACTGTATTAAGCGTGGTAATGGCTCTTGTAACCACATCCTCCTTGTCTAGTGCATGTGCAAATCCATGGACCGTTACAGCCAAGTATGTTACTCAGTTCATCATGCCACACGGTTGATTGTGTCCCCAGTACACCACTGTTCAACAGTTGCCTTTGTAGCAACCTGCAGATTGCGCAATGTCTTTTTAGCGAACCACGCCAGATGAGGTGTCAAGACCAAATTCAAACCGGCTGCATCCGAATTTAACAAAGGGGAGATGTCTCCTCCAGCAGGTTCTATGGCATACATCCGTGGCTGCCCCCGAGATCACCCCCTGTTTCAACGCATCGAACAAAGCCTGCTCGTCAACAATACCACCTCGAGCGACATTGATAAGAATCGCCTGGCGGGGCATAGTCTGTAACTCTAGCGTCGAAATCAAATTGATCGTTCTAGAAGTACGCGGCAAGCACAGAATCAAGACAGTTGAGCTTTGCAAAGCTACCTCGAAGGAGACGCGACCTGGCCGAGGTGTCATGCCCTTCCGCTCCGCCACAAGTACGTGCATGCCTAGCGCCCTGGCTAAAGCCTTGATGCGCTTTCCGAGTGTTCCATAGCCGACTATGCCCACGGTCTCATCCCCACATAATAAAGGTGCTTCCCCGTCCGAAGTACGGAGCCGCTCGTTCAGCCCACCTTTCATTTTCCACTCAGTATCACAAGCTATGTCTTCGGGCACTGCAACCATAATGCTGTGCAAGTCAACGAATTTCCTCCGTACGGCGAAATAGAGACCAACAGTATGCTCACTAACGCTATTTACGTTAGTGCCAGGGCAATTGCGCACGGTGATTCCCCGCGCCTTCGCAGCTTCTTTGTCGACACAGTCCGTTCCGGATGCCATGATCACAATCAACCGGAGCTTCGGGGTAACTTGGGGACTTAGAACATCGGCAGAAAGACGAATCGTCGTGGTCAGGATAATCGTGGCATCTTTGATATGGCCCGCGAGGTCTGATTGGCTGGTCCAGTCATGGACTGATAAAGTGTGGCCTCCAGGCAAGTCGAAATCCGGGATAGGGCAATTGACGGCCTCATGCAAGCCGCCAAATCCGCTAGTAAGGAGGGGTATCGCTATTGTGATTGTACATGCCGTCAGTGGTCTCCCTCGGTGGTGTGGTCATCATTCTTATCTTATATGCCCTTCTTGAAAACATGGACCTTCAGAGTTCTAGTGGGCGATTAATCTCCCGGCGAAATCCTGTATCAAAGAACTGATGACAATACCTCGCACAACGGTTGTCGAGTGCTAGTTAGGAAACAGGAAAACTCGCCACGGTACAAAATATCTGTGAGATCGGGTCTGGATAATCTATTTCGAAAGATGAGTCAGATAGTGATAGAGTAACCGTGATTTACCCTGTCTAGAGACGTTGGCCGTTCCTACTGGCGTGAGCCTGTCCCTTTACAGAGCATTTCTCGCCAGCAGATGATTGACGTCGAGCTCCTACTTGAGCTACTCAGTAGCTATGCAGGAAATGGGAATTTCCAGGGAAAGTGCGAACGAAAGTAAAGAAGCACTTCCAGCGTTGGATTCAATAAAATTCAACATAACATATATTTGACTAAACTAATCGAGCATCCATTACCCACCCCCTTCCCCAATGGTCACCAACACAAAGCTGCAATACTCAGGTCTTGCCTCTCTCGTGGAACAGTACGAGAAATGGCCATGATATGATACCAAACGTTCAAGAACTCGTTTACCGCGCTCTCTCCGGGTACGCATCGTACAAGCCATCAGCAACGCGAATGTTGCTGAACAAGACCTCGCCCTCGCCGTTGTGGAAGAAGCGAATCTCGGTCGAGTTGGCATACCAGGGACTAATACTCATTTAGCTTTTGTGCCCAATAACAGAAAAGAAAAAAAGGAAGAAAACATACCGAGCATAAGTAGACAACGCGAAGCGCCCGTTGGCGTATACCTCGAGAACAGAGTTGTCAACAGTAATAGTAAGGTCCAAAGTCTCAATGTGCGTTTTCCTGGGCTTGCTGGCTTGTTGCTTGCCTTCTTTGCTGTGAAGAGCAGGCCCCTTGTTGTGCTTAGACTTGCCAACGTGGTCATGGTCATTCCGACCGTTATCATCATCTTTGTTGCTACCTTTGCTAGCACAGCTGTCGTCAATGTCGAAGAGGCGCAGACGTCCGGCCTCGGGGGACGCATCTATGCCACTGGTCGTCTCTGCAGCTGCACTGGTGTTGTAGCGGTCAATGATGATGGATTCGTTCGAGAATTGGTAATAGATGGTGGTTGACTCTTGCTCCGAGGCCAGGATCTGGAAACCTGACTGCAAGGCAGAGTCACGCGCTGACGCCGGGAAGGAAATTCGAGCCTCAAGAGAGAAAAATCTCGATTCAGGTGATTGGCCGAACGGAATGATAGCATCTTCAGAAAGTGTCCTGTCCGGTTCTTCAAAGCTTGGAGCACTAGTAATAGCATCATAGGTCTCCCGCGCAATATCGATTCCAAGGGTCTCGAGTTCAACACATTTGCCAGCGTCGCCGGCCACACGCCATGAGCCAATCTCCTGCACAAGGTCGTTGTTAACCACATTCGGGATGTCCTTCACATACAGCTCACGTGGCAGGAGCAATGTATTCTGCCAGCCTTGCTGCTCAGCAGGGAAGCCGACAACTCCTCCAAACACATCGCCAGTCAACCAGATATAGGTGAGGAAGCGGTCCGGAGCGCCACTGCGAGAGGATGCTTGAGAGGTGCTAGGCACAACCTTCCCAGCACCAGCGTAGGCTGACAAGCCCCAGTCAAGGACACCGACCATATCAGGGTTGAAAACTGCATCCCCATCTTCGGTGGCTGTAACACCGCTGGATGATGCCCAAAGCATGGCATGCATGGAGGTGACAGATTCCTGGATTGGGGCATACGAACCCTCCACACCAAAGGTCACAAAAGTCTTGCCATTGACGTTGTACCCTTCTCTATCAAGGCTCAATGCATTGGCGGTCTCCCAGTTATAGCCAAAGACCCTAGACCAGTCACCGTTACCCCAGGTGGAGTTTGCCGGTGCATTGAACCATTCTCCCACATACTCCCACTCGGTAAAACTCTCGGGACTCAGATTGCGGTACAGGAATATACCAGGACCGACATCCTGAATACCACCTGAGATTGCAGTATACCACGTTCCCTCATCGCTGTTGAGGGCTTGGTCAAGCTCTCCGTTCTTGAAGACAAAGGGGTCACGGAAGGCAGTTACATCTAGCCCAGCAGGAGGTTCAGGAATAACTGGTGGAATGTCCAGTTTGGTGAAGTTCTTCCCACCATCATAGGTGACTGCCAGGGATTGAGCCTCACTTCCGCGGGTGTATGGAAGAGTCCAGTGGATTGGGAGCGCTGAAACTCCTGTGTACAAGAGTGTTGGCTTGCCATCAACACCACTAGGAATGACAGAGCCATCAAAAACTGCAAGGGGGTCATTTCGACCACCAGCAACAATTGAATAGTTGCCGTTTTCGTTTACATCATAATAGTGAACAAGGTTATCTGTCTGTACACTTGCAATGCCAGTGCCGTTGTGCAGATAGCCGACATGGAAGAGACCTGTCTCGGGGTCGACATAATGCGCACATGGGTCTCCAATCTGGCCTGCTGGTGGGAGGACGTGGATATGAGGTCTCCAAGTATCGAAAAGAGAAAGACTTGGGAGCGTCGAAAGATCAGGTGGCGGGGCGTTGTAGTCTTGCGCGACAACGGCTCCGAAGCTCATGAATAGAGCCTTCGCTGCGGTTGGGCGCTTCATGGCAGCGAAGTAGGAGAAAGTGGGTAGATTAGGAAAAGATATTTTATTATTGAAGAACCATAGATTACCCGATGGCAAAACCGATTTTATATCCGATATCTCTTCTTTCTATTCAACTGTGTACCTCGATAAACATTCCAATCTAATATCGCCGGAATGTCGATTTCGGGGCCATTCCCATAAGGCCAGGGCCCAATTCCATCGGACAATAAGTAGCATTGGAACAGCCAATGAGAACTATTATACCGGGGGTTTACAATGGAATCTCTATAAATTGCACCCAGGGAATGTGACATACTTCATAATGTCGCACTAGTATTGTTAAACTGGTGAAACATGCAAAGGAATACGGAAATGTTAATACTCCGTAGCTCTTGGGCACAAGAAACAATTTCTGGTGACAGGAGAAAGAAAAGGATGAAGCAAGGAGATGAATATTATAATGACCGTTTCTAATCGATGAATCGTTTTCATTTTCATTTCTTTTATGTGGTTGAACATGTCAATTTCAGCTCATCCTACTGGTTTGACATGGCATGCACTGCACATCTTCGTCCTTGCTTTGAATGGTATGAGCCCAGTCAGGATGCAATCCAGGAATGCAATTGGTATTGTAATAATAACTCCCCAGCCTTGGCTATGTATGGCGGTCAACACCTTCTGTCTATCCATCTTATGGATAGATGATCAAAGAAGGCCTCTTGTCAATTAGATTATTCAGATTCACATTTCATTATGGAAGGCTTGGCTTGCTTGGTTCCTTGCTGCCGTCCACATTCTGCGAGGGCAACGGTTCCTTTCTCAATGATGCCAGAATTGGCAAAGGCAATGCCAATCCGTTCTTGCTGAGCATAAATCTTCTCAAACACAGTAGCTTGGCTCTTCCAGGAGTGTATATCGCGTTCCTCGAACCAGACCGCATATGGAGACCAGAGCGAAGTTAATTCAGCGCCAGTCATGAGGTTGATGTGAAGAATACGTTTCCAGCTCTCGAACCAGAGTCTGAAGTTTGCGTCGTTTTGATTCGCGGTTACGTATATTGGGATAGGTGCAACAGCCCGTGGGCAAGAAACAACTTGTTTACCGCTATTAGTGCGCGAAGGGAAATCTTTTTTTTTTTTTAAACCCAGTGTATAGTGATAAGCCAACAGGGTCTGGGAAGACCTATCGTGCACCCGGCTTTCTCTAAGATCCGTAATAGGTGGCCTGGGAAATATGGGAGGAACACTATCCACCTAGATAATCAGGTGCTGAAGGCATGAGATAAGCAGAAACCTAGCACAATTTTTGCAAAGCTATCACGTCGCTGCTGGGTAGAACGAAGGACCTAGAAAAGGTTGCGTGCAACGCACTTATCATCTTGAGTCCCTCCTACGCAAAATCTCCCATTACAAGCCTAAACACATTCTGCTCCTGATCAACTTCATTCGTCAGGCAAAATGGCCAGCTAGTTCCCGCCTGAGCCGTAAGTGACCAAAAGGCCATTGCCACGGAGATTCAATATGAGGATAGCTGGGCAACTAACTTCCCGATTCATGCTGCACCAGTAGTCACTCCGACTTGATCTTTGGGCCCGATGCCTACCTGGTGGCCACCAGTCTCCATTTGCTTCCGCCCACGGGCGCTGTTGCAGACTCAGCGACGGGGACCGCATCGATGCCATTATCTGAGAAACCTGTGTCAACTCGGACAGTCTGACGAAAAGCATCGCGTTGCCTAGTGCTGAGGTGCAAGCAGCGTTGATCGTTGATCAGCACCCGCCTACAAGAACGCCGGACTGAACCTTTTGGAGAACGGAGTATCGACCTCAACACATCAAAGCACATGGTGTGTCACGCCCGAGTGCCTCACGGATCCCGAAGTTCTCAGTGCGACGCAAGAATGGGACTAACTGGCTGTACGGTGTAGGCACTGGAGCACAAGCTAGAGATCCTCGAGAGGTGTCTGCCCACAGGCAAACGTCTTTTCCCCGGGCAGTGAACATGACCAGAGGCCCTCGATGACCGTCGGGGTGATAATAACCATCATCGGTCACACAGATGAAAGTACGGATTTCAAAACCTTTATACATCAGATGCTGACTGGATGCATCACAGCTGCTGGTATCGTGGACATGATGAAGGTATTACTCGACATGCGACACAAGGCCATTCCGCTCAACCAACACTTCACAATCCCAATTCGAACGTTAAGCTCTACTAAAAGAAGCTTCATATACCGACCACACCCCAAGAGTGGCCCGTGTCCCACTCAACCAGCCCCTTCGAGCGAGTGTCAATGGCTTCTACTCGGGTAGGCACCCACTGCCACGCCATAAAGTTACGTCCCCGAAGTGCATACTGGCGTCATAATGAGACCAGATCTGTTTAAAATGCTATGCAACTGAATCAGGGAGATTATTTCTTACTTTAGTCTTCTAAAAATTACCTTCCTTACCCAGGATCCCAACGACTGATTCCTTTCATACATAATTTCTCAAACCGACAATTTGGTTATCCAGACTAATTTTGATCCTAATCACAGGTTTTTGCTGAAATGAATAATCCCACATCATCCATGAAACCTTCTACGGGCTCCCCGAGCACTTCCTCTTGTTTCCATCGTCGAACTGCCGCTGATGACTCCACGGGCTCGGAGCCAACAATGCCTTCCACGAATGCATATCCAGGGATCCTAGAGATCTGAGACCCGGAAGATATGTTACCACTGTTGATCCGGATGCGAATCTACAGCTTTTGTAGACTTGCGTATGGGTCTAACGGTTCGAATCAGTGTGGCTATAGGGTCATCTCGCTCAGAGAGGACGTCATGAAAGTTGGCGGAAGAGTATTCGGTACAACCACATGACCAAATAACAAGCCGAATGCCAGAGTCGGTGACGACGCTCCGAGATGGCGTCTGCACCAGGCTGTCTTGACTTACATGAGGGTGCGGGAACAAGTATTTGGGATCTTAATCTGGCCGGTGGAGATGAAGAGCTTGGCATACCGCACGGTCTCGTGTGGAGCCGTAATCGGCAAAAGCAGAATTTGACTGCCCATCATCCTTCACGGTGTATTTTCACCTCTGTCTGGCTGCATAATTTGCGACGGCGTTGGAAGATAAGGGTATGGGTCCAACGGGGCTAGACCAGTTCAAAGAGCTGCCTATTAGGCCAGCGGGAATTATCTGGCAGGATGACTTTGTTTCGCCGGATCACGAGAAACGTCTTATTTCAATTTTCCTCAATGAGTTAAAATGGCCTGACCGCTCCGGCCGCTTGTCGCTCCACTATGGCTACACCTTTGACTATAAAACATTCGACATAGATCCAGACATTCCATACAAGGAGTTTCCAGACTGGCTACAACCATTGATTCCGACTACAGAGTCTCGGCCACCGGACCAGGTCTGTTTGCAGTACTATCCACCAGGCACTGGCATTCCGCCCCACGTGGATGCACATAGGGCCTATGACCAGCTTTACGCCCTATCTTTCGGCGCACCGGTCATGATGAAGTTCCGCAGGGGCGAGCAGCAAGTGGATATTGATTTGGCCCCCCGGAGCATGATGCAGATGACAGGCGACGCGAGGCTGCATTGGACTCATGGCATTAAGAAGCGCAAGACAGACACACTAGCAGATGGAACAGTCAGGCCGCGGGGTGACCGGTGGAGTATCACATACCGGTGGCTTAGAGAAGGGGAATGTGAATGTGGGGATCTTGAGCTGTGTGACACAGCTCAGAAACGGAACGGGATAGAGAAGGAAAATAGGTCATTTAAACCGTTAGCAGCGAATGCTGTTTCTCAAAGACCAGTTAACTAGACGGGCTAAATCATACGCAACTCGCGGAAGCAAGTCAAGAGATTTGGCTGCGATTGGCTGGATCCTCCAGATACACTTTCACAAAAGGCAATATACGCTTCCTTCTGGAAGCTGACTGTCAAAGGATTGAAATCGTTGCTCTCCACATCGTCTGTCGAACCACCATACATCTTAGCGCTTTGTCAAACATGGTACGGCTGGAGGGGGAACACCCACGAGGCACTCATTGTGTCTCACATTGCAAATCACTGCGTGTTTGATATCCTTGTGCGCTGAGGGGTGAACACATGCTGCTTCAGCAATTGATGTTAGTCAGTTTGCCATGGTTCAAACGGCGCGCAAGCCTAACACTAGGTGCTTACCTCTAAAGACAAGACTTCCGCGCTGGTTTCAAAAAATTCGTGTCATATAAGCCACATTGAGCTGACCAGGAAAATATGGGATCCAACTGCCTTTGTCAGTACTTCCTGGAGCATTGATGGAAGTGCTGTAAGTCAATTGGTCGCGTACAGCATGAATAAATAAGCTCCTGAACTTTTCCTGTCAAGATTATCTGCAGATGCTGCATTAGCAGCTAAGTGTATTGACATTCTTTCCGAGTTTGTGTGTCTTGCTGGCGTTGGAGCTTTGTATTCTTCTTCAATGCCTCAATGAGCCCAACCGCTTTCTGTCCTGGACACCAGCTGGTCTCGACTGCTTATCTTCGTTTATATATAGCACCTTTCAACTAATTAGAAACTTCCATACACACTTCATTCTATTTGATTATATCTTAGATGGGAAAAAAGTTTCCATTCTCTTAGACGTTAATTCCTTCATCTTCTTTCTTGGACATAGTAAAGGTAGAGGGTCTGCGCATACGCCCATATACTGCTTCATGCTGCTCCTTATCTTGAAAATTGCTCTGAAAGTGTTATTAAATGGCTGTAAAGGCGAGTGGTGATTCTCTAAATGATAACTCCTATACGTACTGCACAGATTGCGGTTGGTTCTTCTTTTCTTTCCGTTTTTATGCACCTAAGATATGAGCAGCATCTCCACTGGTTGTGTGTCTACATCTGAGAAGTTGCGTTAAGCTCAACTACCAGCATTTTTGTAGATACTCCTTAAGACTTTGCACAAGTTTTTAAGATGATGTGCGGCAAATAGTCTCACCGAAAGTTCCCAGCTTTAGACTGTGAGAACGGACATGTAGCCACACCCCTCGCCTTGATTACATCCATATCGGACTTCATCTCCTCTATTCCCTTCCCTTTTTGTGGTCCGGGCCCGATAGTCATCAAACTGTATCCGTGTGGCTCATATCGGTCTCCGCGCGAACCGGGTAGTTTCCCTCCAAATGCTCTGACCAGAAACGCCCCGGGCCCCCATTTCGACCAGAAAGTAGGCTGGACGTACCATGGTTGCAAGCTCTTTCTTTCGAAATTATATAGGTGCGTTTCGGGATTTGGCGTGTCATGCACCAGTTTGACGGCACGGGAAGAACGGCGCGGAAGTGCAAGGTATCGAAGAAATAATTTTCGTGAGTTCCGGATGAAGGCCAGTATGAGGGAAAGTATTGGACCGGGAGACTCAAGACTAAGGACGTGAGCAAAGAATGTAACTAAAGATGGGCACGGGGCTTACCAAAGGCTTGTCCTCATGACATCATCCAAGTCAGCACCCAGCATCTGTCGCACATTTGTTCTTATAATGCTAGGAAGCGACGACATGGCCGAATCAACATAGACTCTGACGTATTGATCGTTTGTCTCCGTCGGCTTTGCGACTTCTTCCTCATAGCGGACTGTCCAGTCATTCAGTTTCATCACGAAGTGTAAGCCGTCTTTCCAGCCTTTTTCTTCTGAAGAAAGGGGGTCAAATGGGATTCCCATATCTTCTCCCAAGTTCTTGTGAAAGATACCGAGGGCACATTTTTCAACATCAGTAAACCTGCGCCATTCTTCTCTCTCAACAACATTCAGGATCTCAGAAAGGCCATCACCTAAAGTATGGAGAAGATCATTATCGGTTATTTTGTTGGCACGACGGTAACGGTCATGGCTAATTGGACCACTGGTCAGTGAACGAAACAAGACGTTTTAGTTTCTCCGAGGAGGGCAATGTACATACAGATAATTCATTCTTGCCACGGCTGACGCGTAGCGATCTGAATCTCGAGGTTTGGACTGTGCCTCTCGCAGGAGAATTTCCGTATCAACAGCACGCTTCCCTGCATTACGCCTATTGTTTTGGCCTGTGACTGCGAAAAGCTTGGACATGGTCGGGATACCTCCAGCCTATTTTCGAATAAGAAACAAAACTCCAATTGAATTTAACAGTGCTGCTTAAGCCAGCCACATGTTCTGTCGGCGTACCTTGAGTAGAGAAATTTGACGAGCCTTAGCAAAAGCGTACGGAAACTCGAGTTCTTGTAATTGGGTCATAATTTCATGTGCTTCTTTGATCGTCATGCTTGATAATTCTCTTTTTCCAAGGGTGAACGGGGCCTCAATTTTTGCCATACGGCGATATCGAAGAAGCTTAACCAGTGCCATATAGCTGCTGAGGGCGATAGCAATCGTCAGGCTCCACAGTGCATGGAACGAGGCAGCAGCGTCTAACATCTCTTTAGCCCTTCAGCGGTCACTTGAGGGTCTTGCTCTGTGCCATCAACTTAATTAGTATTCAGATTCAGCGCAAACGTAGTTCTTATCATTGGTCATCTCACCAAAAAAAAAATAAAAATAAAAATAAAGTGTTGCTCCCGTGACTTTATAGTTCTGGATGAAGAAGTTATATAAAGGTGATCGAGGGCTATTTATGAAGAAATACTCTGCGTTCCTGGTCACGACCAGTAACCCAACAAAACTTTTAAGACGGTGGAACATTACTGGTCTCGAAATTGTTGGGCTCGGCATTCTCTGGGTTGATACCGATGATAATGTAATCAAACCTGTGCACTTAGACTATCACCAGCGCAGAGTCATACCATTTCTCGCCAGTGGGAAAAGAGCGAAAATCCATAGAGATGTGCTGCCAAGGTCGTCCTGCAATGGGTGGAGCTTGGGGGATACTGTGGGTATGATCTCAGGGATTCTCAGCTCTTCGGCACTTTGGACAGTTCCGTACATATCTCTCAACACCTTGCCACTATGTTGGCCAGTAGTATCATGCTTGAATTAGGCGCTGGGTCTTATTCTGAATGGGATTTATGATGGACACTTACACATGTACTTCGCCCAGCTGTCGGGTGCGCAGCTCAGGGTCATCATTAGGGATGAGGAGTTGATTTCTCTTCAGCAGCAAATCATCTTGGAGAGTTCAATTATCCCTTTGTTCTTGGCCCTTCTCACGATACTCCTTTGCAGCAGACGCCCAGTGTGCCTTGCACACCTGATCAAATATCTTCAAGGCAGGTTCTGAGGTATTAACAGTAGATTCAGACTACTCTGTGTTCAGTGGCTGCTCAACTAGATCTGGTTTCAAAAGAATCTGTTCAGATCATTTATCACACAGACATTCTGAGAAAGACCTAGGGCTGGTACCTATTATAATTACTGACCTTCTTATTAGGCTTTCTAGCAGTCACCCTACTTATCGGGAGCTTGCACTTCCATATTGTAAACAAGAGGGGCCAATCTACGGCATAATTGAAGAAAAGGTTTATGACCTTAGCCCAACCAAATCATGACTCTTTTACAAGAAATCCAGGGTAAATTTGCTTGCTTCAATATCTGCAAAACTCATACATCCTACCTTCTGCGACAAGAGGGCAGCGGCCGCGAAATGGATCCTAAATACAGGGGAAACGCTCATTAGTCCCTACTGGCTATCCAGGGCCGATACAAGATGCGGTAAATGGTGGCCATTGGGAAACGAACACCAACTTCTCCCTCTCATCACTGTCTGGAATTCTTTGCCGTCCATATGTGGCTATCCTCGAGCATTAGCACCCGCGCCGCCAATCAACATTACCGTTAGCGGGAAGCCTACATGCAAGACCTCACAATTTGCGCAACTTGATAGCAGGGTAGAATCAGGCATTGCCGGTTGGAATACCATAATACCTACTAATATGAATGTCCTACATAGCACTGATGTAAGGTAGATCTTGAGGAAGCATTTAGAACGAAGGAATGTATCCATCTGGCAAAATGCATACTGGTTATTACAGCCGACTCTCATTGAAGTTTCTGACATAGTTGACTTACGATGCACAGTAATAGTAAATGGTTTCGAACTCCGGATGCTTCGTTCTGACACGTGGGCATTTTGGACTACTCTATTCCACGCAATGCTGTCATTCACCTTAAGTATAGTAATGAAAACAACATATTATAAGACGGTTGAGAAGAGAAGGTTCTCGAAGGACAATACTTATCTACGCCCTACGCTTAATGCTACAGGCGCTTCGGAAGTTGATCACTCCAGGTTCATATAGCTTAGCGACATGAAATGGCCCATGCAATCACAGGCAGGCACGTAATGCGAGCTCTGCCGTGTATTTCGCTCCCTCGGGTTCTGTAAGCCCCAATATCCGAGTTTCCGGCATGTCTAGAGCTTCCCGATGACTCCGGAATACGGAATTGTTCCTCTACCTTGTCAGGGCTGCCGTCCAAAGGGCGTTTCACTATGAGGCGCTGTGAGCAATAATACTCATAAGTCGTACACTCAACTAAGGGGGCCCCCTGAGGGTCGCCCGGCTTTGGACCGACCCACCCAACACCCCGAAAGTCTCAACGAATATATCGGGCTTTATGGACCTGCTTCCGCAGGAAAGTATACCTTTGCTCAAACTAGCTTAATATAGTATGCGTTAGTGGACCAACGATCCAGTCATTGTCAAAATCCAAAGATGTCTGTCTCCCCCCCCCCTTTATTTTCCAATTTGCATACCTTATCTTCTAGAAGCTCTTGGATTAAACGCAACCGAGTATAGAGACTTTTTGTTCATGCTCCGGGAGTCTCTATCTCTGGTTATACCCGATCATATCTCACACCAGCGGGATTTCGAGCGCAGTGCTTTAATTGAATCTCACGGAAAAGAGATGGTGGCCAAGCCCCTTCCAATAGATAGACACACGAATGGCAGAAGTATTTGGTTTGATCAGCCCGGACACGCTCTAGCCACAAAGCTTGTTGGCTCAGAAACAGAACATGTGGTGTCTCCGGCGACCCTGATGAGGGTTATGGAATCGGTAAATGCAGCTCTACCGAGAGTCACACCCTCTTTCGCCTCTGAATTCGTTGCCAGACCATCACAGAAGCCATTTTCAGAAGAAGGCCTTGCCTTAGTCGAGTATGGCCCAAAGCCTTCAAACGCGTCATCGGATCACTTCGTCAGCCCTTGCATGAGAGCAGCAGCATTAGAGACCCTTTTTTCACTACATAGCTCTGTTTTGCATATGGGCTTGACGGATGTCAGCTTTGGCGTGTTTATCAACAAGAATAATGATGCTGCACTCTGTTTCAAAATTGAGAAAGGCGTGGCTGTCATTTGCGGTGATCCTATGTGTGAACCGAAGTTTTTTGACAGGACGCTCCAAGAATTCCGCCACAGGTACAGACACATCGCCCGGCACGTCGCATTCTTAGGCGTTAGCGAAAGCTTTGCTTCCTATGCAAAAAAGATGAGTTGGGTAACGGTTCAATTTGGGGTTGAGAGAATCATAAACCCCCTTTCCAACCCTCTCCTTGCCGGAAACGAAGGCAAGCGCATTTATATACGATCAATGCAGCTTCTTCATCCAGAAAATGTTGGACTAAAACTCGATATCTATGACCCAAGTCATTCTCGGGACCCTCCACTGGAGGCGGCAATGGCCCATGCTTATGAGAGCTGGCGGACTGCACGACAGGATTCACAAAAGGTTCGGACTTTCCTGACCATCTTTTCAATTTCTTCAACGCCTAGTTGCATGATGTACCTCTACATTAGAGGCTCGGATGGAGCATTGCACGGATTTGCAGGATTGCGAAAGCTTGGTGTGGAACGAGGTTATCATCTGGACCCTTGTATTGAAACCCCTTGGGCATCAAAAGGTACCTCAGATCTGCTTATTATTGCAGCAATGGCGCTCCTAAAATACCTGGGTGTATCGTATTTGAGCTTGGGATATAAACCGTCTAATAATATCGGGGAAATTACGGGAATGCCTAGATTAATGATCTGGGCAACGAGATCTTTGTATCACCACCTGTTCCAAACCCTTTTTATTGATGGTAAGATGAAATTTCAAAACTGTTTTCGACCAGACGACAACCAAAAATCCAGCCTTTGCCTGGTGTTTCCGACAAAGAATCTCGGGCCGCATCAGGTGGCTGCTATAGCACAATTGACACATCTAGATATAGGGCACACTCTGGCCAAGCATTTTACCGGTTTCAAACGGCCGCTACCAGTCGAGATGCCTACAAAAAAGGTAGCTCGGGGATGGAAGGAGATATTGAGAATTTGATAAATGAGAGCCTATACTTGTATGATGAGATCAAATACATTAGCCAGCAGTTCATCTCCTTAAATCTTTTCAGTCGACTATAAACTCAGAACTTGGGGGATTTTATCCCGGTTCTTATATATGTCAACCGTGAGCTATTAATTAAAAATAGGCGTAAGATTTCTTGTGTCCGAAGCGACATTTCGACAGTATGACAGAATGCAGGTTAGCAGGTAATATGTAGCAGAGTATTGTTATTATTATTATCATTCATACTTGAGTCTATCGGCCCTGTTCAGCCGAGTGGCGACAGATCCAGTAGGGCGGCCAGGTAAGCTGCTGTAGTAGTAATTATCAAGTACAATACCATTATGTCACTATTCCCATGACTGGAATCCCAACCGGTATGTAAACAGGTCTTTAGGATGAAAAACTCGTCGTTGCTACTATCTGTATATGTGAATTGGCATGTTTGAAAAGTCATCGTCGGTAGTCAGTCGCTTGACCTACGGTACTCACTCACGCTTTCACTCCCTTCTAGAACACTTTTGTTTGCGCCTGTAATCCCATTTATTGTGCTATTCTGCCATGCTATCGAAACAGGGGACAAGGGGGGGCTTGGGTTAAATGCACACCTTCGTCAAATCTATCGAATGTACCTGCCAGCATTCTACCGCCATTGTCAAGCATTATCAGCTCTTCCAGATGTTCTATAGTGTTTCAGTGCGCTATAACGAGCTGAGGTTTGTACCATCCTCATTAAAAGAAGAGCAATTACAACCTCAAACCGAGGTTGACGCACATCTGAGTGCCTTTGAACTACAGCCTCATGTGGCATATGTGCCTGGTCACTAGGCAAATCCCAATGTGGTCACTGCGCAGAATCAGGAGTTGAGGGGGGACGATCGGGCACAGAAAGGTCTGTCATTGGGATTTGGTTTCTTCCAATCATCAAAAGATGTGTTTGCTGGATCATAGCGATTTGCCATTCTGATCAAATTTATCGGTTTCTAGATAGAAAGGTTAAAGCAATCATTCATGATTCCGAATATACTTCTACATTCAAAAGACATCATGTCTAGTATCCTAGTAATCAGTCACGGCGTATGTTATCAAGAGATGGAGTGGTCTACTTTGCACACTGTATGTGGCACACCTTTGGTGTCTCGGCCGTTGTGACAGCCTGGTCACGTTGGCTGGTTATCACATGAGATGTGGTTGTTTGCTTTGTTGCTTTGTCTATAAATATGGCGTTACCCCCTTTCTTCCTTCCTCATGTCAATTATCCTCGTCAATAGCTACCTAGGTAGAACACATGAGTTGATGTTCCATAACCTGGCTGAGCTCCGTGACAGCCGTGGTACTTCGTATCAAACAATTACTGTAGGAAAACGATAACATGACAATTTACACTAACTTATATATGACATATATTGGTATCTTATGCCAATATACCTCCAGTAGATCCATCACATTACGTGCCACTGGACTGTACTGAGTTCCCACTCCGTGCTTGATATCGGCGTGACGGAGCCTTCGGGACGCGAGTGGCGGACGTTGCGGTGCGCATCCCTCATGCCCTGAGTGAAAATTCAATATAGGGATCTGCATGGCTGCCTATTTTTGCCTGCTCAATTGCTCGATTTGCAGATGCGTTCAGCGGTCAACCCAATGCTGTTAAGCACTAAGGCCGAGACATGAACTAATCAACCCGAGCATCGAGACCCAACAGTTCCGTAATTTGGCCTCCCTAATCCGGAAGTGCAAACTGCAATGCAGGATCGACTGAAAGGATTATTTGTTCAGGGTCCGTACGAGGCTTTTTTTGTTTTGTTTTGTTTTTTCTTGAATTATGTGCTTCCTTCAGAGTCTTACAAGCTGCCTTGCTGGACATTGGTTTATTTGCGGAATCCTGCAGCTTATTTTGAGCTTGTGCATTCATAATATTTCATCTTGACCTTTTTTTTTATACTATCACTACATATACCCGTTGTGTGACGCGGAGGATTACACAAGATGGCATCACTAGAACTGATACAGGAGAAATACAACAAAGAGAACATTCATTTTAAAAAAACTTTTGATGATGTCCCTCGGTATGCCAATAATGATTACAATGAATATGATGATGACTATAAGCAATGGATGGGAGAGGATCACCCACTTCGATCATATCCAACTGCATGTTGTCCAGGACTATGGCAATCAGTGAAAGCTCTAAAGTTTGGACAAGCGTTCCGACTGGTGTGTGTGGTGGTCATCTTTCTGTATGTCTCATTGGCCTTGGATATTGTCTATGCATAACTAACAAGAATAGAATCATCACTGTCCAATTCCTTGCTCTCCTACCTACATTTTTCGCATATATGCTGCCCAAAGAAGGCACAGCAGATAACCGACTACCTGTTCTGCAGTGGCCTTCTGGATTCAGCACCAACCGACCCGGTCACTGTCTCTCATACAACCCCCACAGCCGCGGTGCTGCTCAGTCCAGTTGCATGGGCGTCAAAGTGGATCTCTGGCTCCATGGTACAGATCTCCTTGTGGGAAGCTCCGTTACAGACCTTAACATGAAGTACACACTGCGAAGCCTGTATTTTGACCCTCTTCAAAAAGAACTAGATGCGAAGCGCAGTGCGCTCAAGGACTCCCAATCCCAACCCAGGCTGTTTGGAGACTCTACCCAAAGCTTTGTTCTGGTGCTTGAGTTCAAAACATGGCAGCACGCTGCGCTTTCTGAGTTAGACTCTGATCTGTATGGGCTACGACAAAGTGGTTACCTGACCTGGATGAATGGGTCTGAGGTGATTCCAGGACGAGTGACTGTGGTGGTCACAGGTCAGAGAGAACACTATCTTCGGTCTGGTCACGACGCAGAATATAATGAGATATTCTTTGACACCTTGCTGGATGAGCTTACAATGAAGGACTATGACCCTTGGAAGCTCACTCACCGGGATCCCCCCAAGTCCAACACGTCCTCCACCAACATCTTAAAGCCCAATAAGGGCCTCTCCACTGGGGCTCCCTCCTCAACCATCTACAGTGCCACAGCCACCTTCAGTGAATCCGTTGGGTTCCCACGACAGGGCCGATTCTCGCCGCAGCAGATCGCCCTTATTCGGGCTCAGGTGCAGGCGGCCCACCGACGCGGTCTTTGGGTGCGATACGAAGGAGTCCCACAAGGTCAGGGGCGGCTCAGCGACTATATTTGGCGGACTCTGGTTCGGGAGGGAGTGGATATGATTGACGTAGATTGGCAGGCGGCATACCATCGGGCCTGGTGGCAGCGGTGGTTCACGAATCATCTGGCCAGTGACTAAATGGTTTTTCCTATGTTGTGTTTATTTCATTATATATAATTACGGGGCGGGGTATAAATAAGATATGATTTATGCACAATCTCTTTTCGAAGTGGTGGGAGAGATGAAAAGGAAGGTCTGGACATAATGTATGTTTAAACAGAGATAAAGGTCTGTCTGTTCTTAAATATATTTTCTGAGCCACATTGAATTGGTTGTCGGAAGATTACATCAAATTAATGATAATAAGTGGCAGAAATCTTGACTTTTCTCATTTATCACTACAATGCTATAGAAATAATGCTGGCTTACAGTGTAAACACACGTGGAAATGAGACCGTCCATAGTTCAGATAGATTTCCTTTTCTTCTTTCCCAGATTCGATATTCTTGTCGATGGCCACACTAGTCTAGATAGGAATATCATTTTGTCAATATCTACTACCCAGAGCGCGTGACAATCATTCACAAAACATAAAGGGCAGATGAGTAGCTTAGAGGCCACATGACTGCTCACTGAGCAGTCATCCATGATGTAAAATATCTACTGAGCAAGCCCCTATGCGCCCTAATTAAGACAGTGGTGTCTAGAAGAGGAAAGCCACAGTCGTTCTAGAGAAACAGGTATGTATAGGAAACATATATATTGAGAACTATGCGCTTGCAAGCTGTGAGAGTTGGCTTTAGGTATCTATGGAATACAACAGACAGATATATTTAATGAAGGAGATGATGGGTATTCGGTATTAGTATACTTATTCTATGCTGATGCGAATATATCATGCAATCGAATCATAGCCAAGAAACCAACTAGCATAGATACAACGAATGGAATTTCTAACGAGGCCAGCCCAACCCAACCCGACCAAAGATAAGATAGCCAAGCCAGCCAATGGTGAGACTCAGAAAGGACCAAGAACGGACATGTAAATCATCCCGATTTCTCAGTGTCAACAACCTCATCATGTTGTGCAGCCACCTGCTTTCTTTCCGAAACCGCCTCGACATCTCCCCGCTCCAATGCAGCGATGGCAGCAGTCTGCTTCGTGGTTTTCCATGCCGGCGTACCGATATACGGAATACCATTCGGATCGGTGAAGATGTGCTCCGTCTCTTCGAGGGTTTTTCCGGCAGTCTCGGGGAACATGAAGAAAATGTGAATCAGCATGGCTGTGCAGAAGACACCAAATATGATGTACGTTTTCCAGCTGATGTTCTCAAAAGCAACGGGAACGAAGAGACCCAGCGCGGTGTTGAAGGCCCAGTTGGCTGAGGTAGACAGCGATACGGCCTTACCACGAACACGCAGGGGGTACAACTCGGGTGGATAGGCCCACGATGCTGGTCCGAAGGAGACTGCGTAACTAGCGACGAAGAGGTATGTGCATGCAATCAGACCCTTGGCGGGGGCGCCTCTCAAACTCATGGATTCCTCAGGGGATGATCTTTGGTCTTGAGGGACAGGTGTGCCGTATGATGCCATGATACCTGCGTTGGCGTACATCCAGGTCATCATGAGTGCGGAACCGATCAAGAAGGTTGGACGACGACCCCAACGGTCCATCCAGATGAGGGCTGGAACAGTCATGACAACGTTGATGATGTATTGAATTGACGAGGCAATCAGGTTGGCATCACCGGTGTATCCAGCCATTTTGAAAACGTAGGTAATATAGTACACTTGTAACTGTCAGCTGGCACTTAATGAAGGAGCTAGAAACAAACATACTCATAACGTTCATTCCAGTCAGCTGGGACCAAATCTGAGTGAACATTCCGATCACAGTGCGGTTGATCATGGTGGGCTTGAACAGTTCAAAGTATGTCACGTCCTTGTTTTGTCGCTCAAATTCGCACAGGTCCTGAATTTCCTGCATTTCAGTGACCACGAGAGGGCTGTTGGGGTCACCCTTTCCGTGAACTAATGTCAGAACCGAGTGGCATTCTTCCCAGCGATCTTTCCGCGCCAACCAACGGGGCGACTCGGGAAGGAACATCATGCCAACAAAGAGGAAAACGGCGGGAATCATCTGGAGACCCCATGGGATCCGGAAGGTGGCAGTGCTGTAGTTCCAGGACTGTTGACCACCGATATACGCGCAGCCAAAGGAGATGCTGTCACAGTTTTAGCCGGTGTGCAGTAGGACAACGGTCACGGATTCCACATACTAATACATGATCAAAATACCCCAAGTAATAGCCCATTGTTGTGAACCAACCAGGCGACCACGCTTTGACGGCGGCGACAGCTCCGAAATATAGACTGGGACCTGGGCAGACTCGATTCCGACAGACAAGCCGTTGATGACACGGCCAACAATGAGCATACCCATGTTCTGTGAAGCGCAAGAGATAGCTGATCCGATAAGCCTATATAGAAGTCCTCCTCGTTAGCATACATGACATGCAATAGATCGCCGTGAAAGAAGAGACTTGCCAAATGATACAGCCAATCATGATGGCGTACCGACGACCAAGGATGTCCGAGAGGAAACCAGAAATAAGGGCACCCAGCCAGGAACCAGCGGGCATAGAAGCGGTGATACCACCCTGTCGCAGCGAAGTCGGACCAGAACACTCCTCGTCATTGTTGAACGGGGGACCTTTGGGACCTTGGTTGAAATAACATTTGTAGGAGGTGGTACTCAAGATGGCTGACATCGACGATATATCAAAGCCAAAGAGGGCACCGCCGACGACGGCGACGCCGGAAATCACATAGATGTTGCCGATGGCCATGGTGAAGGTTGAAGAGAGCAAACACGCCCAAATGGTCCGGCAATAGGAGACGCCTGCGGATGAAAACAAGGCCAAGACCGACAAGAGAAAAAAAAAAAAAAAAAAAAGAAAGGAAAGGGAAACAGAGGGAAAATGAGGGGCCAGTCCGGGTTTTAAAGTACGAAAGGAAAGGAAAGACAAAGCGCGGGAAGGTTCGATGGGTGACCGGGACTGCGAGTAATAGCATTCACTGTTGGTTGGTTGACCCTTGGACCGCCGTACTATAAAGTGAATGCGTTTAATTATTATAGTGGCCAAGCTCTCGGCCAGGCTGGTGCTTGTTGCATTGTTGGGATTGCCGAATTAACGGATTGCGCAGCCTGTACAGTGATTCCTGCAATGTTTTCTGCAATGCATTCTCTGACAGTATGGCTGCTGTGCGAATGAACTGCACCCTTACTGCGACGATGATATTCGTTTCCTCATAATATTCCTCGATTCATGAGGCTATACAGGAATTCTGGGACATCTCCAGATCATGTGCTCATCTCCGTATTTCTCCGCAATTTCTTTTCTGCCTTTTTTTTCTCGTTTTAGTTTCGTTCCCACATGGATGGATTGCGGGGAGACGCCCTGCGATTGGCGGAGTGTCTATGCATCGTGGAAACACGGCGGATCCAAGCGGCCGACAATTCCCCTTGGAGTATGGTGTAGGTGTCATTCTGACTCCAGGTTCGGCTCAATAGACGAGTTTGATTATGGAGTAATTTCAACCAATGGTCGCCGAAATCAACGCGTTATGTCAATATGGGCCATATATTGCTGTGTACCAAAGCACTTCGGCCATCGGGCAGGTGACTGGTTGTTACCCAAACACTGAACATCCAGCCGTCCAGCTGTCCAATCACCAACCCAGTTTGCTAGGGTTGCATTAGATCATACGAATTACTCGTATTCCTTCTCAAACGGAACATGTCCGTCTGGGGTTGTTTGTCCGGCGCGCGACGCGGATTTACCGATTCTGGAAGAGTCGAGATGAACGTTGGATTAGTCCCGTGATGAGCGTCCCGAACACCGAGTACGTACAAAAGTGATCAACTGATACTTTAGCTGTGGTTGCATCGGAATATTTGCTATCCGAAATCGAGGGTAATATATCAACAGCATGTGGAAATCAGACCCAGATCGACCGTTGCGCCTCGGTTTCTGCGTGAGTAGCAATCAGTAGTGTCTGATGATGCCGCACTTGTATTTCCAGATGGTCAAACGAGCTCCTATTTCGTAATTCTTTGCACATGTTTGGAAATCGGATGAGGACGCAGGTACCATTCTAATTTGTCTGGAATCTTCCGAGAGACACGAAAACAATTGCCGGTCTTACCCCCGATCTGTAAGTCACAGTCTATACGCATGCAAGACGTGGATAAAAGGAATTGTTGGCCATATATCGACATTTTATTGGCAGCGGGGTACACAGTCTGGATACCAAGCCAAAGAGTCAGCAAGGGACTAATTGTCAGATAAGCAAGAAAGTAAGAGGTATTAGGAATACTTAGTCTCATCGTTAATTGATTAAAAATTGGAGGGTAATCTCATCTTACTGTATCTGAGCGAGCTTTGCGTAGAATACTTGTAATTTTGCTCGATGGTCCACCTTTCATCGAAAAATAGAAAACTTCGATTGAAACGAAAACATGCTTCACCAGAAGAGAAAGCTGAGGAAGAGATTGAACTGAGACGAGGAGTTGCTTATTTTGATGAAAAGGTTGGCTTGGTAGTTAAGGTGATGAAAAAAATGCGAAGAGGTGAAGACGAGTTGTGGCACATGACCTGCCAATCCCGAATAGGAAATGGGAACAGCTCGACTACCATCTGTCTCTGAACGTTTAACCAGGCATTACTGGTTTATATATAAGAGGCGCTCGTACGACAGGCTCAAAAGCTCTACTCGAGCCACCTCTCCACGTCTGAGGTAGGACGAAACAGCAATGCTCCGAGTACAGCAAAGACCCAGCCCATATTGCAATCTAACGTCGTATAAATCCTCCACCAAGATGGAAAGGCTAGATGCTCGAATGGCAACGCTATTAGAATTTCTATCATCTCTTTGAGTTAATAACTCGCAGATAGTGCTTCCCAAAGACCTCAATATGCGCTTTCTGTACAGCCGACTCCCCGTTCACAAACCGGATACAGGACGAGATGAAGAGGGCGAGGACAGTCCAGAACAGGCACTTGAGCTTCCACGCTTTTTTTGTAGATGGCTCCCGATGTTCCTCATCCTTTTGGTACTTACCAACGCTATAACATTGCTGGGCAGCCTCTACTGGGCATCATTGCGGGAATTACGTATGAAGGCCGAGCCACCGCTGGATTATGGTAAGTGCGAGACTTCCTACCGTGATGTGAAAGCTTGGCTAATTCTGGTTGCACGTAAACAGCTCAGATACCGCAGTCCCTCGATACAGTCTGGAGACGATTCCGGTGGAATGAGACTGGCCACAGCACCGCCGGGAGAAACGAACACATTGACGCGATTTGGAGAAATATCCGCCCTTCACATGGATATATTACTATAAATCGCGACTTGGCTAAGCAGAGGCAATGGCCGGAGAGTATGGGTCTTCTGTCGAACCCGGAGAAGGGGGTATATATCTTGGGGGCATATCATTATCTACATTGCTTGGTATGGCATTTGACTCGTTGGTGTACTTTGCGGTAGCTTAACGCTATACAGCGTGTTATTCGAGACACCTTCTGGGAAGCAGTCGAGAGAAATCCCTATACGGACAGCCCGGGGCCGCATTTGGACTACTGTTTTGATACTTTGCGGCAGGTACGTGTCCTTCCCCGACCATATTGGGGAAATCACGCTCATCATGAATAGTACATTCAATGCAACGCAGATAGCATCCCTCTCTATACGCTCGGGGGTATTGCCGCGGGCGATGACCAGCTGCACCGATGCAAAGACTGGTCTCAGCTCCGAGATTATGCAACAAGACATACAGCATGTATTCGAGACGTACCGGAGGATGTACCAATATCTGAGCGATTTGGTATTTGTGATATGGGCAAGGATGGTATTGTCGATTTGGCAGAGTAACTCTCGAAGGTTGGTTAACTGTATCAGGAATGTAGCTGATACAACACAGTTCGAAGTCCAAAGATCGCTGTGTGCGTTCAATTGATCGAAACTAAGTATTTTAGGGAGCTTGGCAAGCATGGGAAGGCTGTTGAGAGCAAACGAGGATCTATTACATGAGACAAGTGAGACGGGAATCTAGTTTCAATCTTTTTGCTCTCCATTTGAATCGCTTTCCCCTCAACCAAGGAACCCATAGACGCTAGCACAGCAGCTTCCACTGGCCAAGGGTCGAGGAGCTTCTCAAAATACTCTGACCAGTCCTCATACCACTGGAAATTGTGATAGGCACAGGCATATTCCTAGTATGTAGGGCACCATCCCGCTGTTTCCCAATAGCGACAACCTTATATTCTTCAGTCCATGAAAGAGGATTGTGAATTTCCCTAGCCAGAATGCGCCCCAGGGCTAGAGTCCCATGGGGGAACGAGAGTGGATGGCAGGCAAGCAAGGAGGGAAGGTGCCGGAGCAAAAACTCCCGATGCCACCATTGTTCATCACAGGAAGCAGCGTACTCTTTAGATCGCAGAACCATAGCCCTGCTAAAGTACTCCTTCAACACCTCCATAGAAGTCACGAGTAGGCAGTGATCTTATCTCTTGGAAGATTGGTCGGAGCTGGCTCACCAGGGAATTTTTCACTTAGAGAGCGAGTCCCACAAACTCTCTAGGTTCTTTTCAGAAATGGTATTCCGAGGTGATGTACAGATTGCCTGCATCCCGATACATTGCGCTCTCGAGAATAACTAGACTGGTCTCTTAGTGGGGTGGATGCCATGATGGTTATCAGTACTGCCTGAATAGAAGAGCAATACAGTCATCATATGACTGTATAGAAAACCGCCACTGTTTGTCAACACGAGCTGTCTTACCAGATCGAAGTGGCTGCAAAAACGTCATCTTTCATCTCAACAACAGCGCGTCTTCATAATCCGCTCCAATCTCGCAATTCAAGACCCCGACGTCCCCAAGCCCCGCTGGCATACTACCCTCTTCGTGGAAACTGAAAACGACGGCGCGGGATACGTTCATGAGACCAACGGCGAGATCACAGTTCCCCAGGGCATGAAATACATTTCAACTTCCCAGAGCGACCCAGAGACGTCTGAGGCTTTCTTTTCGAAAGAGCTTCTGGGCTTTACGGCATCCTCCCACCTCGAACCATGGAGAAACCTTCTAGAAAGCGTCCCGGCCCCTCATCAGCAGAAGACATGAAATATAGCGAATATGAAGACGGAGCCGTTCAAGAATCTTGTCCCACTCACTTTCCATGGGCTGGGGGAGGAGAGGGGGCCGCCCATTTAGTGTACTGAGTGGACTTTGGATCGGGCGATTCCTGCCCTCAAGGAGGCTGGTCTCATCAATGAAAGCCACTCTGAGTCGGTGTGATAGTCTGCTACGAATAGGAAAAACCATGAAATATGTATCACAGTATATGGATTCTAGTGCCTATCTTCGGCTAGTCCTTCCAACAGACAACCTCACCGCACGAGACATGGTAAACTGCCCCAGGCTGTTCACCCCATTTCAACCACGCCGGACCAAAAGCAGCAATCTCATCCTCCGTAGCCAGACCCTTTGACAGAATCTGTTCCTTGAAGGTGCCTTTGCTATAACGTTCAGCCTGCACTGTGGACCAGTGTCGTACCCTTTCAGGCCCCGTGAACAGCACTGGGCTAGCAGAGTATGTTACCCGGTCGTCACTGAACCCTGCCTGCACTGCCCAATACCGCAAACGTCGACCAGCATTCGGCTCAGCGCCAGAAGAGCGAATGATTGCGCTATGGGTTTCTCTGTATTGTTTCAGCGCCGGCGATTCGGGGAAGATCGTGAATGTATCCCAGTCGCCATCTCGACTGGCAACGAATCCTCCCGGCCGGCAGACACGACGCATCTCGGCCAACGCATTTACGGGGTTCGAGAGGTGTATAAGGACCTGGTGAGCGTGGACAACGTCAAACGAGTTATCCGGAAATGGGAGACGGTCGTCGACATTGGCCACTTGGAAGGTGCAGTTAGTTGGAAGCGATGGTTGCGAGGATGCCTTCTGAATTGCCTGTTCAGCAAAGTCGACACCAATAACTTGGCCTTCTGGAACATGAGAGGCTAGGTCTGCAGTAATGCTACCGGGACCACAGCCCACGTCGAGGATGTGAGCAGCTGGTCGGGACGTAAGTAGTGGAGTGAAATAGCCGCACGAGTCAGAAGTTGAACGAATCTGATGAGCCGCCATCATTTCATATGTGTGTCCTTGAGTATAATCAGGCATTTTAAACTGATTACTGGTTTCAGTGGATATGAACAAATGCTTGGTGGTAGTTGCGAGATGATCGTAGATAAGGGCGAGATGGATTAAACAGAGTGTCGGCTATGCGGGGCATCTTCTTACCGGCATCGGAGTGCTCAAACTACGATCACTGTGATTAGCAACGACATTCATCCGGCGCATAAACGCGATCTCAAGTAAAATTTCCTCGGACCCTGAGGCATCCGGGAGGGTGGTAGATGCGGCATAGAGTATCTGCTAAAGCGAACGGCTAGATTAGCATTTCTCGGCGTGCTACTTCTTAGTCCAAGCGCTCATTAAGAACTCTGAAATGAAGCTTCCAGTACCTTCAATAGCTAAAACATTGCTATCCATTGAAATCGAAATTATGAAGCACTTTATTCACAAAGCCAAGTTATTAAGGCCTCGGATCACGGGACTTGGCAACTTGGCAATCACCCGATAGGGAAACGCCGAAAAATCGAGAAAACCAACCGAACCCCTGGACGGCTGTACAAAGAGTGACACCTAATCACTTCCACCTCTTCCTTTTATCTACCGTACCAACACGTGCGAAGAGATTCCAATCTTGGTGTGACTTCCTGCCTGTTGATTAGGGATCTCAGCTCTATTTCCCATTGAGCATCGACAACGCTCGAGCCGCCCGAGTCGATTCCCCCGAACCCTCCGACGCGCCGCAGCGGAGGGAACAACCGACTCGATCGCCGCATCGACGAGAATAAAAAAAAAAAAAAAAAAAAAGAAGCATTGGCGATATTCTTCAAGGCAAATTCGCCAGCAATAATGCCTCGTCCCCGGAGAAAGTCGAGTAGCTTGGGCGTGGACATCCGGGGTGATACCAGCGCACCGGCCATGTCGACAATGAATCTCGTCAGCCCAGTTGAATCCGAACCCGGGGTCTTTGACAAGGTATGGGATATCTATTGACCATTTGTGCAGCCGCCAATCCATACTCATACCATTTACAGCAAATCCCGCAACATCGTACTTCTCCCGAGAAGCCCAAGTCACAATCGAAACGTCGCAAGAATCGATCGCTGCTCCGTCGCTCTAAGGATATCTGCTTGAAGCACACATGGCTCCTCCCGCTTCTCATACTGATTGTCCTCCTGTCGTTGTACTTGGTGAACCCAACCGAGTCCAACCCCATGCACAGCGCTATCTTCTTGTCCTATCCGGGACCGCCGAAGACGCCCGGTGGCCCCATCATGTACGGAAAAGGCCCTAAGGATATTGCTTTTGTGTCCTTCTACACAATCGTTCTATCGTTCACTCGCGAGTTCCTGATGCAGCGCATGATCCGTCCGTTGGCAGGTTGGTGTGGGATTCGTGGTAAAGGCAAGACTGCACGTTTCATGGAGCAGGTGTACACCGCGATCTACTTCGGTATCTTCGGACCTTTTGGTCTCTATGTGATGTATAGGTCGGACATTTGGTATTTCAACACGACGGCCATGTTCGAAGGTTTTCCCCACCGGGAGCATGAACCTTTCTTCAAGGCGTTTTACTTACTCGAGGCGAGTTACTGGGCACAGCAGGCGATTGTGCTGATGCTGCAGTTGGAAAAGCCCAGGAAGGATTTCAAAGAGCTTGTCGGTCACCACATCATCACACTGGCACTCATTGGACTGAGCTACCGGTTCCACTTTACTTACTTGGGCATTGGAGTCTACATCACGCACGATATCTCGGATTTCTTCCTTGCAGTCAGTCTTCCCACGACCCATATCACGTATAACACATGCTAACAGCAGATATTTTTGCAGACTTCAAAGACCCTCAACTACCTCGACTCCATCATCACTGCGCCCTACTTTGCAACCTTCGTCGGTGTGTGGATCTATTGCCGGCATTATCTCAACCTTAAGATCCTTTGGGCTATCTTGACCGAATTCCGGACCGTCGGACCTTTTGAACTCAACTGGGAAACTCAACAATACAAGTGCTGGATCAGTCAGTACATTACCTTTGCGTTGTTGGCCAGCCTGCAGGCCGTGAACCTGTTCTGGCTCTTCTTGATCCTCCGCATCCTCGCCAACTATGTCTTCAACAGTGTCAAGAAGGATGAGCGAAGCGATGATGAGGACGAGGAGGAGGAAGAAGAGCAGGAGAAGACCCAGGCTACTCTTGCCACAGGTACTGAGCAGCCCACTCTTACGGCGCGTAATGCTACCCAGGAGAACCAGGCACCCCAGGTTCTGCTTAACGGCAAGCCTGTCCAAGGAGTCGAGGACAAGAAAGACTCGTAAGAGGCGTCTACTTTTTCGTCTTATTAGCGAGCAAAGTTAGAGATTTTTCTAACGACAGCTTCCAATTTATGAAGCTGTTATAAACATCATTCACCACCAGCATCATTTATGCTTCGGCAATTCTTCTGGTGGCTCTGGGCGTATTCCTTTCTTTCATTGTGTTCTAATTTTGTTTAGCTTTAGAAAGACTCGGTGATATGGTGACCGGTGTCCATGTTTTTTTACGACATTTACTTCGCTGCAAAGATCTTGGCTTGGGTTGGTGTCCTGCATGGCGCAGCTGGTTGAATAAGACGATTCATGTTTTGTTGTCGGGTATTTTCTCTGTTAAAGAACTTTGTACAGCAGTTTCCGATAATAATAATAATCATATAGATTCGCATTTGACGACCGTCGGGAGCTCAATTCTGATCGAATTCACGGCCAAGTAGGTTTGGGAATTGCTTGTTCATGCATACTTCTTTTTACATTCAATGCACCGTCTATGTTACATGATTATTTTCACAACTCATATCACATAAAACGCCCGGCACATCTATATCCAGAGCGTATGTGGTTACAGTGTCAAACAGGTGAGCGTAGTCACTAGAGGCGTGAGGTCAAGCGCCCGCATTTTACTGCTTCTCGTCGGCGACCTTTTCAGACTCTTTCCCGGATTCGGGCTGTCGAATCTGTTAAAATCAAATGATACATGGCGGTTAGAGTCAACGTACCTGCTGCTCGCCTTCAGACTTGGGGGCCTCCTCCTTTGGCTTCTCACCCTCTGACTCAGCCTTGGGAGCATCGTCACTCTTAGCCTCTTCCTTGGTCTGCTCATCCTTGGACTCAGACTCCTGTTCCTTGGGCTGGGACTCCTCAGACTTCTTCACTTCCGCGGATTCTTCCTTCTCTTCCTTGGGCTCCGGCTTCTCTGCCTCGGGGTCGGGCTGAGGAGCAGCTTCACCCGCGGGGGCAGCTTCCGCCTGTTCCTGGCTTTCCTCCTGCGCGGGCTCGGGGTGCTCAGCATGTTCGCCGTGGCCGTGGTCGTCGTGCTTCTCGGGGCGACCGGACTGCCACAACCAGAACGAAGCTGGGGCGGTCAGGCCAATTGAGCCTAGGAGCCTATTGCAAAGAATCTCAATCAGTGTCGAGTCGCGAACCAATGCAATCAGTTCACAAGTAAACTAACCATGGAATATCTGACCCCTTGCCCTCAGCAGGCTTCGCGGTAGAATAAGTGCGACGACCAGCCTGTTGTCCAGCTCTCCGAGCAGTCGCGCCCAGCATGCGAGCAGACTGGGAGGTCATGAAAGTGCGGAAAGCAGGGAATGCCATTATGATAGATATCCGGGGATGCGTATGTAAATTTAACCACGGGTAGTCGGGATAAGAAACCACAGAAATGAGGCAATTGGAAAGGAAAAGATGTGAGAGGATTGCGTGCGGTGCCGGCGTAGTATAGAATCGGTTCGGAACGGAATTAACCGGCGTGGCCCAAGCTTGTTTTCCGGTGATGTCACGAGATGTCAGGAACGTGGCAGAGAGCCTCAAGAGATTGATAAATGCTGGCTATTTAGTGGCAGAGATTGGGTATTATAGTGCGATTATTATGGGTATCGTCATTTGTCGGCTTTCTCCTGCACTGTCAGTTCGCTGTAAATGTGCTGCAGAGAAGGTCTGTGTCGTATCCCGTAGCAGATGTCATCGACACCTGAACATAGCCTCAGGCATGCTGCCCCACGTGTCGATAGCTTCATTATCATCTGTTTGCTCTCTCCAGTGTTGCTTCTCTACTGCTTTTCGTTAACCACGTATACTGCCGCTCTAATCTAGGTCTCTTTCTACATCCAGCTCTTCCAAAACATGGCAGACCGACAAGCAACGCAACAGAGCCTCAACGCCCTGCTCTCCAAGCTCGATGACCCCGATGCGGATTTGAGATACATGTCTCTGAACGATCTCTTGGGAATCCTCACCAGCCCGAATTCAGCCTATCTTCCGCACGACCAACACTCCTCTACAAGGATAGCTGATGGGTTGCTCAAGGCTCTGGATGACCAGCATGGTGATGTGCAGAACCAGGCGCTTAAGTGGTTCGTATAGGATCAACCCAGCGGGGACCCCAGAACATCCGGGATAGAGCTTAACTGACTGTGGATACTCTTTAGTCTCGGTCCTCTCGTCGTCCGGTTGCCGTTTGAAAGTCTCACACCGCTCCTGAAGAAACTGACCGACCTGACTGCCTCGCAAACCATCGACACCTCCGTCCCGAACACTGCTTTAAGAGTCATCGTGAACGCTCTTCCTCGTCCGCAACCCGGACAGCCTGCCGCTGAGGATGAGAATATGGCATACTCGGCAATCTCAAAAGTCTTGATCCCTCGTCTTACTGGTCCTACACCGTCTCCCTCCGCAAGACGCGGTTCCGTCATACAGGGAATGTTGGAAAAGGATTCTTCCAAGGGCTTCAGCAGTGATGCAATTGACGTTTCGATCCAGACCGTGACATGCTTTGGGTCGCTTCTTAACCAGACGGAATTAACGGCGCTGCAAAAATCTGTCATGTCTATTATCGATAACGACACGGCTGGTACCGTGGTCACGAAGCGTGCGTTGTCGGCTATCTCGGCGATTGTCCTGCATCTTTCGGATCATCAACTCAATGAGTTCGTGGGTGAACTGGTAGAGAGCTTCCAATCCCCGCAATTGAGCACCGTTCACCGTCGACACTTGATTGCCACCGTTGGGAGCATTGCAAGGAGTGCCCCGGCCAAATTTGGGCCTCATCTACCAACCTTGGCGCCGTTTGTCTTTTCTGCGGTGGGAGAGGAGAATCTCCAGCAAGTGGCGTGATCTATGTTGGTGTTGATTCCCAGATAATGGACGAGAATTGACCGGTGTAGTAGCTGGTACAGAACTCTTTCCAACCGGTGTCCGTTGCTTAGGCGTCTACGAAGGACTTTGGTCTAGTAACGCTCTACGAAACCGATATTGGCTTCAATGTAATATAATTATGATTTGCTAGGTTTTATGTCCACGGGCTGGGCATGACATTATGAACGTGATATGAGAATCCAAATGATATCGAACACGACATCTAAAGCTGGCTATTATACTCTATTCTTCAGAGGGCACCAGTCACATCGTCATACGTATCCTATGTAGAACGACCGCGTATTGCACCTTCCGCTTTGTCCTTCAGGCCTCCTTCCTATTCGGGATCGTCCCTTCCCAGTTCGGACCAGAGCCCTTCCTTCCTCTGCTGCCCTCTCCCGCCTTAAGAACTTCTTCCTCCCTCCCTTCTCCTCTCTTCTTTTTCCTCACTCTCTCCCACTATCCTCCTATCCTCGTCATCGCTCTCCTTATCTGAAGCATACTACTAGCATCAGATCTCATCTTATTCTACATCTTAGCTTCCATTTACCTTTGCATCAATTGCGAAAATGCACCTGCGTGACATCCTCGCCTTCTCGACTCTCGTCCTGGCAGCGTCCGTGTCGGCTCGCAGCATCTCACAGCCACCCAAGGACAAGTCTCCCATTGTCTCCGCTACGTTGGACAAAGGAGGCCAGGGCAGCGAGCTGCGGACTGAGAACTTCGAGAACCGGTGTGGTCCCAAGTATGGCAAGTGCGGAAAGGGCAAGTGTTGCTCAACTGCCGGTAAGTTCTGCGACAGAATACATTCGAATGGGAAGAACGAGACGTGCTGACATTTCTCGGACAGGCTACTGCGGATCGAGCAAGGCTCATTGCCGCTCCCCTGACTGTCAGATCGACTTTGGTCACTGCGATGGCCTCTCATCCCCCGAGGGTCCGTCTACCGAGAAAATCCGCAGACCGAAGATTGGCACCGCGCCCTATGGACCGAATGTCATCCGTTCATGTGCCGTCCCGGGTACCGTTGCTTTGACGTTCGACGATGGCCCTAGGGAATACACCGAAGAGCTTCTCGATCTGCTGGAGAGGTATAACGCCAAGGCGACCTTCTTCATTACGGGTAACAACGGCGGCAAGGGACCTATCGATGACTTCGACATGCCCTGGAGCACGTTGATTAAACGCATGCGACTTGAAGGTCATCAGGTTGCCAGCCACACCTGGTCTCACCAGGATCTCAGCAAAATCTCGCACGACCAGCGCAAAGACCAGCTCTTAAAGAACGAGATGGCTCTTCGTAATATCCTGGGCGGCTTCCCGACTTACATGCGTCCTCCGTACTCAAGCTGCCTTCCCGAGTCTGGTTGCCTTGATGACTTGGGTAAGCTTGGATACCATGTTGTCTTGTACGATCTCGACACTAGTGACTATGCCCACGACAGTCCCGACGCCATTCAGGTCTCCAAGGACATTTTCAACAAGGCTGTGGACCCATGGAAGGTCACCGACAAATCCTGGTTGGTCATCGCTCATGATGTCCATGAGCAAACAGTCCACAACCTCACTGAGCATATGTTGCGCAGAATCCGGGACCGTGGCTACCATGCGGTGACTGTAGGTCAGTGTCTCAATGACCCTGAGGAGTACTGGTACCGTGAGGACCCCCACGGGCCACTTCACATCGACAAGGAAGGCAAAGAAAGTCGCAAGAAGGATAACAAGGGCAAGTCTTCTACCTTCAAAGCCATTACTCTGGACGGCACCTGCGGCGTGAATGTCACATGCGTTGGCTCTGCGTTTGGTCCCTGCTGCAGTAGTGCTGGTTATTGCGGCAACTCTACGGCGCACTGCGGTACAGGTTGTCAGTCCGACTTTGGCCGTTGCTTCTGGCCCGGCTCCGACAAGCTTCTTCCGAACGGTACTACCATTGGAATCCCGGCTAAGCCCAAGGACACGGCATCTGGATGGTTACCGATCGACAAGGACAAAGATGCTGCAAAGAGACCGGTGAAGTCGGGAGCCGGCTCTCTTGTCAAGACCGGAGCCTCTGTCACGGCATTGGCTTTGCTTACTTCCGCAACGGTTCTTTTGACTTGACCATTTTTATGACACAAGAGAATGACTTGTCTGTTGTTGAATTCGCGCTTGATGGCTTATTTTTCTGTTTGGATTGAATTTGGGTTTCAGATTGCACCGGGTTAGTTTGTGTTCCCTCGTTTGTTTGCAGACTTGTGCAGTAGCTTAGCGGAGTTATTAGAAAAAGATGATGCTCGCTTCGAGCGATTGATACTCCTGGTGATGAACGTAGATGTCATAAAGTACTCTGTCCTTAGTAGATGACCCATTAAATATAAGTATACAGCGCTAGCTAGGCAGATAAATATACATCAGAAATGACAAAGGTTCAACATCGTAAATCGTCTCATCTTGCACCAGTTCGTAGTAAGTCATCCATCGCATAATAATACAGATATGGAGGCAGTCATCGCTTCGTTATCATTTCCTAATAACTTTCAGCAAAGGCGCAATCCGCGCACGACGACTCAACCCAACACGGTAGGGCACTTTGCTCGTGCTTGCAATGGGTGAGTGTTTGCTGGGTCCTTTATTGTCGTTATTGGATTTGGTTGATGTGCCTGCAGCGCATTGCCCCTGGTTGGAAGTATCTGGTGTCGGATTTGATTTCTTGGGGGTTACAGGGGCATTTGAGGTCGACTCGTGTTCAAGTTCGGGCTCGGGTCCAGCTTCTGGTGCCAGTGCTGGAGCTGAGAGCTGCATCTTGTCGATTGTGGGTGGGGTTGATTTCTGCTTATCGCCGTTTGCAGGTTTCTCGACGACAACGGACACGTTGCTGAGGGGTTGACCAGGTGCATGTTCATTGGCCTCAGTGGGTTCCTCTTCAACAGAGACAGGAGGTTGCTCAGAAGTGTTCTTTCTCTTTCGTCCGCGTCTCCTAGGCGCCGGCTCCTGGTCAGGATTACCCTTTTCCTGATCTTTCCCAATCATAGGAATTTCCACCGCAGCAAATGTCTCTTGTTCTCCCGCGGGCGTCGAGATAGAATCAGGAGTGGGGATCGAGTCTGGTCGACGGTCGTGCTGGGGGTCATGTTGTCGGTCGTCGATCCAAATTACGTCGTCTTCTACGTCTGGTTCGTAGGTTTTCAGGAGAGTGACAGAGGTTGTTTTGCCGCGCTTGAGTTTCTTTTTTTTGGGTTCTTTGCGCGGTTGTTTTGGGTTTGGTGGTTCTGTGGAGTGGGGACTGGGTTCGTGTTTTGAGGGTTCAGGGTGTTGAGTTTGGGTTTGGGGGGCGTTGAGTTGGATCAGATGCATTCTGTCATCATCTGGGTTTGTGGTATGAGGTTTGTCGTTCAATTGTTTGGGCTCATTGGAAATAGGATGTGGTATGTTTGTTTCGATCGGTTGGTGAGTCTCGTTGAGATTGCTGCTGTGCATAGTCTGTTTATTACTCCTTGTACGACTAACCTCTTTAGCCTTTGGATTGTTGTTCTTCGAGTCACTTGGCACTGCGAGCTCATCGTCATCATCATTCTTCAGTTGCGGTTGGGACTTCTTTTTCTTTGGAGCTTTCTTCTTCTGAATCACTGGGATCTCAACAGAGACAGGAGGACAAAGTTCGTCTGTTGCATTTGCTTGAGGTTGCTGTGGTGCACTCCGTCGAGCAGTGGCATCACTTTTCGACCTGCTCACGTTTGGTGACCTCAATGACGAAAATGGCTCGGTACCATGTGGAAAGTCAAGTGCTGCTTCTTGGAGTGACTTTGATCGAATGGGGTTCTTATTCAAGACCTCTGTTTGTATAGTCTCATGCATTGCAGCGTCTGCATTCGTGGGTCCTTCCGGTGCGGATTCGTAGGCATTGGAGGAAAGATTTGACTGAGTACGGTCAAACGTCGAGATACTACTATGGGCTGCCCCAACGGCCAACGCATTCTCGACCCATTGGTTTCGATCCGAATTATACCACTCGGGGTGTAAGACGGGAATTTGAACCTGCGGACACTCCTCGGGGCATCCCAGAGTGCTATCAACACCTTGCAAACCTTGCTGTTGCTGCTGCTGATCTATGTACCTCAACTCCGACTCTGTAAATGGGACAGTCGCAGTCGAAGGAATCTGCTGTCCGGTATGCGGAGCATCATCGTCAAACAGTCGTCTTTGTGCCATGTCAATCTCAGACATCATGAAGGCTATCGTTATTTCGTTAGTAGGCCACACAATCAATTAGGACTAAAAGGCACTTACCAATTGACCCAGATCCCCTCGTAATCCCATTCCCAAATCCACCAGGAATCCATCTTTCCTCTCTTCTCCGCTGAGACGACGATACCGACGCCCGCCTTTGCGCATCTTGCGACTGCGACTGTAGGAAATCATCGAAGTTGACGCCGATATCCCCAACATTATTAATCTCTTCTTGAATCTGGTTATCGATAGCACTATTTTCCACATTGACAGCCGAAGCATCATCCTTCCAATTACTGTTTTCTGGACGATTCTCTCGCCTGGGGGACATCATGGGGGGCGGAGGTTGAGCCTCGCAGGAGAGAGGGTCGTCTTCGTCGTCGGAGTCTTGAATCACGCGGCTGGTCATTGTGATAGGAGTACGTTATGTGAGCATAAGGGTATTGGTGGATATTTATGTCGCCTATAACGGAGTAGGTATAGGAAATTGGGTGATTGGATGAAGCTCGACTCGATGCGCGTTTGGTGGGACCATGTGACGCGAGGGCACGTGGCGATAAGATAACACATCCCAAAAGGGAAGTAGTATGAGAGCGTTTTACACAAGGGGAGAGGGGGAATCGGCGTGGACGGTGGACATTGTAAGAGTGACTCAGTTGGAGGGAAGATATTGTGTATTGTGTATATAAGCAATGAGGTACTTTGGTTGAGACCAACTATCATTGGTTCAACAGCCACCCTCACCTCGTATATCCATAAATATCTAAGTACAGAAGGTATCAATTGCGCACAAAAAAGCAATACAAATCATCATTCATCACATCACTCCATAGTACTCTGCGGCCGCATAACACCCCTCCCAAAGAACTCACTGACAGCCCCGAACCGGTCCTTCGACCGCTGAAGCTCGCCCTTGAACAGGTCATGCTGATCAGCCGATTCTACCTGCCTCTTACGAATAGCCTTGATGGTGGAATTCTGTGGCGCGCAAATGGGGCATTCAGCGTCTTCGTCGACCTTGTTCAGACAGCGTTGGTGGAAGGAGTGTTTGCAGAGGAAGTGGATTGTCGGGAGATCGAGGCCTCCACCGCAGGACATGCATCGGCGTGCTTGGAAAACAACGGGTTTAGTTCCTAGTTGTTCGATTTCTTGTTTTTTGTTTTCGGTTTCGGTGCTGTAGCTTGATATCAGGCGGCGGTTCTGTAGAGCGATTAGTTGTTGGTATATGAAGAGAACAGTGATATGCACTTACCGAAGATATCTCCTTCCGTTCTCGCTCAATGTTGTCACTTAGATATTTCTTGAGACGGCCCATCGTAACAACTGCATTGTTGCTTAGTGCCTGGATGACCTGTAGTGGCGACATGAGGCCCTCGTCGTCGATCTTCTTGAGAACGGCATCGAGCTCATCGCCAGCTTCTTCTAGGATCTTTGGGCTCGAGGCAAAGTACGTCAAGGCATCCACGTATAACCGTGGTTCCTCGGGGCCGTACTTCTTCAGAGCCTTGATTGCACCCTGCGTATCCTTCGCAGCGGTAAACGAACGAAAGATATCAGAGCGAAGACCTTCTTGTTCGCGGACCAAGGTCGAGCCCTCTCGGAAGCCGGATAGGTCGGACAGCAGCAAGACGTTTGATGTCGATATGGGAATCTAATCGGATGTAAGAGCAAGAACCCACATTGGAAAGAAATATACTTACATCCTTGCCCTCGATAAGCTTCTTTGCCTTGTCCTCCCACTCCGCCTTCTCAGTAGTATCTTTCTGCCGCTTGGCTGTGTCTAGATACATCTCGAATAGGGTTGTAAATAGGTCCATCTTATCTTCTTCTTTCAGGTTCGGTTGGCTCGTAAGATCCTCTAGGAAGGTGATGAATTCCTGTGGATGATCTACGAATGCGGAGAATGCTGCCCTGGGTTTGGGAATGACATAGTCCGGAGTCGATTCGGTAATTTTATGCTCTGCCAAGGACGGTGCCTCAGACACTTGTTCCGTTGTGCTTGTGCTGACATTTATAAGGCCTAGCGGAAGGAAACCTGCCAGACTCTGCAATGTACTGGTAGGTTGTACTTGGGCCTCGGCAGGTGGCTCGACCTGCGTTCTTGGCTGGTACTTCCCGGTGTAGTAGACTATGAAGAGTTCAGTGGTTTGTTGGGGGCAATTGGCCAATAGTACACGGGCATATTTCATGAGGTTGTGGTAAGCCTGCACCTGTTAGTAACTTCAAATGAACCATACCTAGTGAACTACATACCATCTGAGGCTCAAGTCGCCAGATATACTCCACGGCTTCAGCGTACTTCTTCGAATCCTCAATTAATATATCGACAACCATGTCATTTTCACCGTATTTAGTGGCCAGATACGCAGCTTGCTCGTAGTAGCCGCCTTGGCGGCACATAGCAATGGCAGTTTCTAAGTCAAACTTCAACTCTCCAGGAGCCTTGATGAACGAGTCTAACTTTTCTGTGTCCTTTAATTTCGCGTAGCAGTTGAGGAGTAATGTGGTGTGGTCCACTGTAGCCTTCTCGTGATCGTGCAATTCCTCTAGGTATTCGATAAGATTGTGAATACGTTGTGTGTCAAGATACTACTTAGTGTCAGTGATCCGCTATACCCTATAGTTTTAGAGATGTTCACCTTCCGTATAACTTGTGATGGTTCAGTGTTGTCGATCGCTCGAAGATATTGCTGCATTGCCGTGTCGTAGTCTCCCTTCTGATACAGAAAGTCACCGTATCTGCGGTATATGGCATTTTGCTGCATAGAGTCAACGTCTGTCTTCTGCGCCAAATTAATAGCCAAGATATAAAGGTTGCGTTGGTAGAGGATCTCGAGTTTCTGCTGGAGACTCTTTTCCCGATAACGGTAGACCTTCCCATCTGTAGTCAAAAGGAATAGACTACCCCACTCGGTGAAGATGTGCTTCACAGAGGACGAGAGTGACTCAGAATGGGAGATGAATTTCAGATCCGTATCGAGCAAAGTGAAAGTAGTCGTACTGAAGAGCTCGTCCGTTTGGCTCATCCCCATATTCAACGAACCTGGCTTTGTGGACCCAGCTCTCGGGGGACAAACGAGAGCGATGTAATCTTTGAAAATGTTGATCGAGTTCTTCGGACTCTCGAATGCGTAGCTAGGTCCACGCCCACGCGAGCCATACGTGTATACGGCATCTTCCCTGGCAATCAATATATCACTAGAATCCTTGTCCATTGCCATACACCCGAGACCACAACCAGTATCTTCTAGAACACGAGCCGGCTGGCCCTGCCCTCTCCCAGAGATGATCAGTGTCAATATCCGGTTCGTCGTTGAGATGTAGAGCGCTGTCGTTAGTCCGTCCTGCGTCGCGAGTCCGGTAATCGGTTCCTCCGATTCGAATACAATACGTTGTCGTGCGCCGCGATCATGAATCAAATCACCGCGAATAATCGTCACGGATCCGTTGGCAAACCCCACCGCAACCTGGGATAGATCGCTAAGCGCTGTGAAGGCAGATATCTGTTCCAATTCCAATCCCTCAGCAATTCTTCAACATATTTATCCAGCAGTGTAGACATACCGGAAACTGTCTCTTGGCATTATGCACCGAGACCGTCGACAAGCACTGCGGCGCTCCGGTCTTCTTCTCGGGCTTATCGAGACCCCAGACTTTCAATACCGGCTCATTCAGGAGATCTTCTGCAATAGTAACTAACAGCGACGTTCCATCTATTTGCTTCATATGCGTAATCGAGCCGGCATCGTGTGCTTTGAATGATCGGACGATCTTGAATGAGGAGGAGACGATGCGGACGACACCGTCAGTGGATCCAAGGAAGAGGTTCGCGGAGCCGGTACAGAGGGTTGAGAGATCAGGCTGGCGACCGATATGTTAGGTTTCGAGAGGTTTTGTAGAGATATAAGGGTGGAAGTACGTACCCCAAAGACGGAGGCGTCCTCCGATAACTTGACCGACGAGACGTCGAAGAAGTTGAACGCTTTCCACTGTCGGGTGTGAGTATGCGATATGACAACTTCACGGGCGTGATACTCACTGATGTCAGAGCCATTTGATAGTGGTCCGCACCATGGACCGGTTGGAATGGTGTTGAAAGAGCAAAGTGGGTAGTCGTGATTGCGGTGTCTCCAGACCGTCGGAGTTGATCTGGCGAACTCCGCCGGCTAATACGGCAACGTCATTGCTCAATGAGTATGCATTTTTGTATAGAACGCAACCCTTTTTTGAAGGTTTAATTGAGCAAAAATGCTCAGATCAATATATTTGACTATTATGGAGCTGATTCTTTTAAGTACATATAAATCCTGATTGAGCTAAGATAACTGTCGAAAGGCTAATGGGTATCCAAATTCAAAGCAGATCGTTGTGCATCTCCAGACGATGCACCATGGTTATTCCCGGACCTGCGAAGGTCCCTATTCCAATCAAAACTTTCCTGCAGCCAGCTCCCAGCATCGGCAATTGCTTGACTCAGGTTGAAACTCTCGCTTGCAAGTCCTCCCTGGCCATCTTGCCCAGTGGGCGGCGTTGTCCCCGACAATGTCAGCGGCAATGCGGTAGACTGTGAGGGTTCGTGGTTATTGTAATTGGAGTCTATCCCAGGCTGTGAGCTGCGTGGGCTTTCCCCAGCACTCTGGATCCTACGGCCGTACCGGTCTCTTTCCGGCGATGGCGACCAGTCGGAGTGAGGACTCGGAGAACGGTCTGAGAAACTAGAGGCTTTTTGCTTCTTGTTGGTCGAAGTTACTCTTGACAGAGATTCAATATGGACATGGCGATGACGCTTCCTTTCAGTGCTGAACGTAAAGGGGGTGACGGCATCGACTATACACTGCGTACTGGGTACCACAGCAGCGGCAGTTTTTAAGGTACTGTTGTCCGGAGCAAGATGGGTTGTATTAAGACGGTGGAAGGGCGTGATCTTTTGTGAGGTAGTCGAGCTTGGAAGGGAAGACCGAGAAGAGCGTCGTTTCTGTGGAGATGTTGTGGGCTGGTCCTCCACTTGACTTTCCAGGCCATCCTGGAAAGACTTCTGTGCATGGAGTAGGGCTGCTTGGGTGGAAAGCGGAACTGGGCCAGTATCATCATCATTCTCCGATGCACTCGTCGGTGGGGCTGTGTAGTGCAAGGATGGAGCATAGTCTGCCATAGCAGGATTGGGTGGTATTGGCTGGGCTGAAGGGATATTCTCAATGTTTCCATGAGTCGACCGGCTTTCTAGAAGACCGCGAGAAGCAGTATGGCTGTCAAGGGCACGAGAGCCTGCAGTCGACGTAAAAGTGCGCCGGGAAGGCTCATTATATGCAATTTCACGCTTTGCTGACTCATTCGTGGATTCTTTTGAAGATGTAAGCTGCCGTTTATGCGCTTGTTGATACTCCTGCCTATGCAATTGTTGAGCATTCTTATCAGTTTCTGTTGGTGCGGATGGTTCTTCCCCCGCTTGCTTCATTGTCGGCGATTTGGATCGTTTCCTCCGTCGACGAAATTCAAATTTTGGCAGCTGTGACGATGATGAAACGATACAAAACGAGGTGTTAGATTGAGCATTATGGGTAGCGGAATGTGGAACGTTCTGTTGCCTAATGGGCGAAGGTCTGAAATGGCTCTCAGCAATAGACTCGGAACGGCGACTTTCTTGTGGCCGGTCAACCTGTGATGACGCTGGTTCCCTTGTATCCGTTTTTTCCGGGCTTGAATGTCTGGGACCGGGAGCAAGGGACTGGTGCCGTCGGCTTCTTGTATCGGAGAGACGGGTGGATACAGTAGTCGTTGGCGACGTTGGCGGATCGAAGTTTCCGAACCCAATCCCCCTACGATCCCTCTTTAACCAGTTGACATCTGTTGGCCTGGCGATGCTGTTGTTACGTAGTTCTGAATACAACTGAGCTTCCCCTGTCCAAGGTACTGTCCTCTTCGGCGTGCCTTGTACGGATGCTGAATTTCGACTTTGCTTATCCTGCAATGGCTTGCGAGATTTTTGATGTTTCGAGGTCACCAGCAAGCTTTCATTAGCGGCATCTGACGGAGCGACGGACGTTTCCGTACGGCAGGACGACTCGTGCGACTCATGATGTAACTGCTTCCGTGGCCGCGGATCAGTCTCCTGCACTACTGGGTCACTGGAATTCTCAGCTGCACTGTGCGATTTCCGCTTTTTTGTCCACGGATTCACCCATCCTTGATCGAACGGTCCTTTGAGGGAGGCGGAGAGAATAAAGAGCGGGCCGCCTTGGAGATACGCTTCGGCCAATTTCTCGATCCTTTGGCGCTGTGCATTGCGTGCATCTTCGCCCAATTCATCATCAGAGCCCAGCACATCGTCTGAAACTATATCATCTGCGGAAGGCGAACACACTTCGAGCGAAACTGGCGAGGTTGGTCGAGGGAATGGCATCGGGATGGCAGGGGGAAGGGATGTAGGAAGGTGGACGGCGGTAGCTCAGCGGCAGTCAGACGCAGCTGCATTGGGTGATTTAAGCAGCTGGGGGTGGTGAAATGGCGGGTGGGTAAATAAGGACGGGGGTAAGATGCTCATTTCCAAAGCAGCAGACCGTCCAAAGGCATCAACGTTGTCTCTTGAGCATCGCTGTCAGATACGTACTGACCTCGTTCATCGACGCTAAAAAAAGAGAAAACCACTTTACGCGCCGGGGCAACGCGTGCTTATGTAAGCCAATGTAGCCCTCTATTCTGCACTCATTCTACGGGAAAATGGTTGAAATATGATTGTGATGCCTCTCGGATTGTGAGATCTTGCAGTTGTTTGTATGAGATTCTGATGATCGAGTGGAATCTCGTGCCGGCGCAACTGCACTCTGTAAGCGGGATATGACGAGTCCGGTGCGCCCCACGCCAGCGTCAAACCAATTGGATCGAGTGAGCAGGTTTGTTTGTTTAATTCTATGATATCAATGCCTTCTCACTTCATCCAAATCGCAATTGGTATCGTCGTATTATGCCAGCGCAACGGTATGCTAGTGCGGAGTATGCGGTATCAGTACTGGAGTAGTCGCTGACTTGGAAAACGGAGTACGTAGTAAAACACTTGTGAAATCAAGAGGAACACTATAAGAAACTCAGCAATCAGCAGTAAAGGAATACTCCAAATAATCCTTCCAACGCAGCTCTCAAACCTCACAGTAGTGTACTGCACAATGCATGCATGATTGATGCTGGAGTTGCCCCGACCTCCTTCACAAAAAAACAATTCCGCCGCCGCCTTCGACTTCCACTCCGCTACTTTCGCGTGCCTTCATACAGACCAACCCCAGCCCACATCCTTTTTATCTTTTTTTTTATTTTACAATAACGGTTGTCCCTGCATATTTACCAGTTCGGATTTGAATGTGAGCCAATTCACCGGGTTCCAGGCCCATGTTCGACTCTGGTGCCATATACGACTACGAACCGCGTTCACTACACCGCAGACGCTGAATTCACCATTCTGCGGATGCTGTGAATGGGAAATTAACATGCAGAACCAAGCCAGCAGTCATGGGCAATAGCAATCCCCCGTGGCTGGATAGCCTAACGGACGACTGGGAGCCCGTCCCTGCTACTCCAAGTCCGGTTCCGGCTCGATCCATGAACCATTCCCGCGAACCCAGCCAGGACTCCCCCAGTCGCATTCCTATTCCCGCGCGCCACCGTTCTGTTGAACAGTCCTCCGCGGATTCCAAGAAGAAGGTTACCCGACCGTGCCATTTTATCAGAAGAGAACCGCCTACGCCCAAGAGCCGCACACCCCGGACGCCGGCGAAACTGCGATCCCCCGTGCCCAAGAACAATAGCCCCCGATCTAGAAGCAGTACTCAGCCAACACGGACTCCGAAGTCTGGAACGAAGAAAAGTCCGAAATCCACAGCGTCATCGTCGAAGTCGAAACCGGCATCAGACAGTCCGAAACCGAATCCCGCTGCGCGTAAACTTCACGCAATAGACACGCGCTCGCCCTTGCGGTCGGTATCAAACGTTTCCAGCCAATCTAGCCAGCCAAGTCAGCAAGGTACGGTGCAGGTCCGCCCAAAGGAGAACAACAAGACGCGAGAGTCAACCCCGGAATGGCGCAAGAGATTGGTACACGGTGAATTACCTACGGGCGAGCAACGCGATTTGTTTGCACCTATTGGGTTGGAGAGCGTCTTTAAGCCTCCAACTCCAGGCTCTGGGGCAACGCGAAAAGACCAGGTTCCCATGTTCAAGCAATCAGCAGATATATGGAATTTCAACGAGGGCAGTGACGTGAATATGCACAGTCCCGACATGGAGAGCGCTGATGAGAACCGTCGGGAAGGCACTGGTGACTCAAAAGGCAAGGATCCAGCTTCGCAGGATGCAAAGCGCGACAGTGTCAACAGTCCACGCACATCCCCAGGAGATGCGCTCAAGATCAGGAAGAGCGGGGAGGAACAAAATCGCAACGGGAATCATTCTTCTCTCAACGACACCAAATTACGAAGTGCAAGTGGCTTGGAAGATCTACGGAATGAAGGTATCACCCCAATTACTTTCTCGCGGTCGAATACAATAGACGGCAATGGGACGTCGGAAATTATAAGGTCAGCTCTGAAGCAAGTCACAGACAAACTGGAGGGTCTCTCGTTGCGGACTGGAGACCGTCCCGGCTCCCGAGCGAGCGATAGCGCACTGTTGCATCCGCAGAGCGAGGCCCAGGCAGAGGCTTTACTGCCAGAAAATGAATTGCTAGACGTGACGAGCAACTCATTGCCTCAAGACCTTTCTATGGGCACATTGGGTGCTTTTGCCCGGTTCCGCCGCACGGATTTCTTGGGTGAAGGATCCCTACTCAAGCCGCGCCTTACTCCATCGCCCCTTCCTTCCCAGCGTCTCTCCCCACAGGCACTCTGGAATTCGCGCATCCGAAGCTCACCTCCATACTATCTCAAAACGAATCCATTAACGGATCCACCCACGTTACCAAGGCCATCGTCGGCCCAGAGCAGGAACTCTGCGACCGAGAGCTCGGAGAAGGGCAAGGTTGAGGGCATGCCGTCATCCGGCAGCCCATTGAAACTTTTTGGAACCCATGACACCTTCACAAACAACAAACTTCTGCGACGGATGAGTCAATTCGAGGAGACCTTTGGTCATGCGTCCGATGAGGACGAACCAGTGTCGCCTTCAGAGGAGGCTCGACGGAAGGGCGAGAACCGAAGCCTGTTGAGCGTGAAACTAGACAGACCATCTTCAAGGCGCTCGAGGATCAGAGCTACGAACAATCCCAAACTTAACCGGTTCGGAGATGGCGGTCTGGACCATTTCGATTTCTCTGATACGAGCCCTTACGAACCCAAGTTGCTGTACCATGAGATGCCAGATCTCGATCACCGCCCTTCTTCACGACGGAGATCTTCTATTTCTAACCAGCATTATCGGCGGACCTCACTCGACGGTCATGACCACCAGCACTCTCCAGATGATCACCGGTCGTCCGCAGACGACGATTCTTTGGACTACAGCGAATTTAAATTGAGATCCACCATACGTTCAAGAGAGACAAACCCAAAGAGACGCAGGACCATACTGGAATCAGGTAGTCCAGATTATGAAGACGAAGATGGCCGAAACTTGCCAGGTCGGGCTGATGATCTTTCATTGCTGCAAAAAAGCTTGATGCAACACGGCATCAACGACGGTGACGAGAATCATCCGGATCAACCACGCTCCCAGCAAAGACTACAATCGCCGACAGCAAGCCATTCAAATTCCTCAACGCGAAAAAGATCCTCGTCGCACTGGCACCACCCTAATGATACCGACATTGGCGAAGAGTCGCCGTCAGATATGGCTGTCCCTAGGGTTCAAGTGACCGGTATCAACGACGAGGTGCGCCGAGGCTCAATCACCACTCAGGATTACCTCAACGAAGCGACAAGAGTCATGGACATGATCCGATCAAAGGGTAGAACCACAGGCGGGCTACCGAGTGTGGAAGAACTTGATATGGAAGGTGAAGAAGACGACAACGATAGTTACGATGACGATAATGATGACGATGATGATTCCACTCGGGAAGAGTTCTCACGTCCTCCAAGCCGGGAAGGTGTCGATATGCGTAAGCTCAGGGAGTCCAACGAGCCCAACCCGCGCGTTACGAGCTACTTGAGAAAGTTCCAAGAAAACGATGATCCAGAATTCGGAGTCAGTACATCTGTCGCATCGCTCCACTTGGATGATGATCAGCAACGAGGATCGCCATCCCGAGGCAGTCCTCCTGACTCCAAGGCCGGAGCTGAGCGCAACCAGAATGACGTTTTCAACGGCCAGCAGGAACGTAAGGATTCGGTAGGGTCAGTCGACGAGGAAGGTGGACATGTTACTATCGACTCACAAATGTCGTCCAAGAGCATCCCTACTGGCTCATCGCAGGGTTCATATGCAAAAGGCGTTCTGTCCTCCGACGTGGTGTCACATTTAATTCCGGAACAAGTTAACGGTTTCACTTACGACCGCTTCAAACAGAAGTGGGTCAAGGAGAAAGTGAAACAAGTACCTGAAAAGCCAAAATGCGACGATAGCGAGGATGATCCGTTCAGGGATATTCCAGATCTTAGCGTCGACGAATTGCAGGAGATGATGCGAATGCAGTCCAGTTCCCCGACTAAGACTGATGATGGCCGGCCGGCCGATGAAGCTGACGATCCTCAAAGTCCACTCAGTGCAAAACAGCCACGGACGCGCGATGGTGCACCGTCGGTTATCGTCAGCACCGTTCAGTCGAAAACGTCCCGTTTTACCTCAACTGATCTCGACTCCGGCACCAGGGCGACATCGTGGGATACTGATCAACACAAAAACGGAGAATCCACCAGTGAAGTTGAACACGAGATCAAATTGCATGAGGGACGTCTATCAAAACCTCCTCGCCGCCAGAGAGCCCCCAATCAGCAAGCTCGAGCAGTTACCGTCAACTTCTCGTCCCCTCCCGTCTCCCGTGTTGCATACAGCGATGACTACACCCCGACTAAATACATGGGCCGGGAGCTAGATCCAGGTTTTATTCAAGAGCAAGAAGGCCCGGCTGGCGACACGCGACCTAATCCAGCTCAGACTCTCAGCAACCACGCAACTGGCGATAGCGACAGCGGTGAAGATGAGGCGTTGTGTGTCATGCGACAAAACACCGAGGGAGCTGTATCTACGCCACTTAGTGGTTACCAAGAGAATTCTGTGGTCCGTTTCCAAGAGCCTGGGCATGACACGAGCTATAGTTTTAATCTCAGTCCCCTACCCGACTTCACTGTGCACCAAATCGACAAACCGCTGCACCTTGAACTCAGCTATGTAGCCAACCGCACGAATCCGACCTCTCTACGCCAGGTACACGGAACGTTTGCCTTGGCAACAGAGGACCTGGTCAGACACCTGACTGAGGTTGAGCCCTTCGAGCCGTACTGGGAGCACGTCCGGCGTCTGATCCTCCGCGACAAAGGTCTCATCACCCTTCACAAACTGCACGACTTCTGTCCTCGTCTGGAGGACCTTGACGTATCGGACAATGACATCGGTCAGCTTAGCGGCATCCCCGCCACTCTACGCACCCTCAGAATACAGCGTAACTGTCTTACGAGCTTAACGGCGTGGGGTCACCTGGTTAATCTGCAGTATCTGGACATTTCGGGCAACGAGCTGGAGAGCTTGGATGGTTTTGGAAGCTTAATTCATCTCCGAGAGATTAAGGCAAATGACAATAATATTCGGAGTATCGAAGGGATTCGCGATCTGAATGGTCTCTTGAGTCTCAAGTTGGGTAACAATTCCCTGACGTCGGTAGATTTTGAGGGAACTGAATTGTAAGTTTTTTTTTTTTTTTTTTTTTTTTTTTTTTTTTTTTTTTTTTTTTTTTTTTGGTTCTTTTTATTTATCTTTTACACTGTTACTTACTAATCGAGTAGGACTCGTCTCAATGAATTGGACTTGAGCTATAACGTGCTTACATCCGTTCAAAACCTGCACCTCTTGCCGTCCATCTCCGCGGTCAACCTAAGCTTCAATCGCCTCACTGAAGTTGATTTCCCAGCACCTATGTACAACTTGCGCTCGTTGAAAGTCTCGAATAATAACTTGGGTACCCTCGATACCGCGGTGTTACCTTCATTAACCCTTCTTTACGCTGACCAGAATGCGTTGTCTACAATATCTGGGCTTGAATATTGTCACAAACTGGAGATCCTTTCTGCTCGGGAACAGATGGTGTCAGAGAAAGACAATTATAAGTACTTTGGCGTCGACTTGGGTCAAGTGAGGGATATCCGTAAGGTGTTCTTATCATCGAACAAGTTGTCCACACAAAGTGTCTCTCCATCCGCTCCACTGCTGAGCTTGCAGCTCCTTGACATCGCATCTTGCAAGCTTGAGAGCCTGCCGGCAGAGTTTTCCCTGAAGTTTCCAAATCTCAGGGTTCTCAACTTGAACTTCAACGCGTTGACCGGCATTACTGAATTGGCGGGTATGAATTGTCTTTCGCGATTAGCAGTTGCTGGAAACCGGATCACGAGAATGCGAAGACTGTGTCAAGCCTTGAGCTACATAGGAAGGACGAACAGAAACAGCGCCTGCTCGCTTCAAAAGGTCGACATCCGGGGTAACCCTCTAACTGTCCGATTCTACCCACCACCCGTCACGGGAAGTGGCAAATCCACAGAGAACAAGAAATTGCATGGCAAAGAGGCATACCGCGCGCGCGAGCGTTCTCAGGCTAAAGCCAACTTCGACCTCCCCGCTGCCCTGGCTGACATGGGCCAGAACCCAAGCGAGGGTATCCCTCACCCAGCATTATGGGGCGAGATAGATGGCGAGCCAGAGGACATGGATATGGACGCAGACGCAGACAAGGACCGAGATGTCGAGATCAACGACCCTTACACCTTGCCCGCTGCAGACGCTGAAGCGGACATAAAATATGTCTCTCATTTGGACGAGCCAACGCGGTTACGACGAAGGATCGTTGAGCTTATGATTTATGCTGGAACAGGTGGTTCAGTAAAACACCTTGACGGGTTGGAGCTACGGCCGATGCTCGAAGAAGGATTGGATATGAATCATGCTTGGACGAAATTGGAGAAACTGGGCGTGCTGAGGAAAAAGGCAATTACGGATTAATTCCTTTTTTTTTACTTTTCATTTTTCATTCTCCACCTCTAATCCTTTTTCATTTAATTTGTTTTGGGCCTGGAGGCAGTGCATTGCGTTTTTGCATCCCGTTCTTTTTCACTTTTCCCTTTTGCTTGTTGGATATTAGCTGGCAGGATACTGGTTGGGTTGGGTTTTCTCATTTTCATGACATACCTCTATACCTTTGTTTTCTTTTTGTAAAGAGTGCAGACACGGAGTTCTGGCTACGCATACATGAGCCTCTGGATTATTGGCTTTTGAATACAATTCAGATTCAACATTTTCTCTGATGCTTCTCAGCTTCATGAGGAACGGTCACTGGCACACATGGTGATGCATTATGGCGTATATAACCATGAATAGGAACCAAGACGTCGTATATGGAAAAGTCGTACGACATCCAAGCAGCTGCAGAACTGACCTTTCATGCCTCGAAAAGATCATGCTGCCCCCAACAAACGGCACACGTTATACATCTGATTCCCGCTGACCAGCCCCCGCAAAAGGATCATGCCGCCTACTGTCTGAAGATAGCCTACCCAATACACGTATCGCGCGGCATGTTACATTTTAGGTGACTCATACACCCGTCTGTGGATCTCCAAGCATACGACTGAAATCATTGATATAGACTAGCAGTCATCGGGGCTTCCAGCGGCCTAAAACACCAAATGCGCTTGTTATCAGGGATAACCCGAAGATAACAAATAGGATATCGCGATTTGAGAGATCAGGATCAGTGTAAAATGAATCAATCACACACACACACGAACCTAGAAATCATATCAATGGCTATGCATCGTTGGAAAAGTTCGAATCAGTTGGCAAAGATATGAACTATATACAATGCCAGTATCTGCTGGATAACAATCAGGGTTTTGTCGGCAAGTTCTAAGTTCAAGTAGTCTCATTTGCAGCGCCTTGCGGAATTTAAGCATTTCCGTATATAAATCAGTCAGGGATGAGAGGATAGTAGCTATTGGGCTGAATTCATCGGCAAGTCACGAATGAATTGACCAGGGCATGTTGTAACCCCATAATTCATTCGTTTTATTTCGAGGATCCGAAGCCACTTCCACTAGTCTATGATTTCACAGAACCCTCATCGCTTCATGGAAGGCCATTTGGTCATCTGCAAACCCCACTAACGATTACACCTCATCAGGCTCGTCGAGAAATTTACTCCATAGGTTTTGGCTATCGAGAAAGACCCCAATGCCTACCCTAAAACCGAATTGAATCGACCAGAAAGTGGAGAACGTCTGCTGGGCCACGATTGCTGCAGAGGTAGTCTCATAGTTACCAGATGGGTGGCACGCAACGACCACGTTATGATTCGCGATTTGTCCAGCAAAGTGGTGGCGTCCAAGAGAGGAATGCCGGTACATACAAGTACATATATTGCGGAGGATACGACCAGATCCCATACTACTCCGGACGAAGTTCAAGTTGGAAAATTTGTATCACCCGAGAAAAAAAAAAAGATTCCGTCATGTTTAATAAGCTAGGCTAAGCTAAAATGTAAGATGGTCGTGTAGTGATATCGTGAAACATTATCATAGACGTCCCCAAGAGGACCGGAACACTTTTACCCCCCGAAACTAGACCTCCAATTCCAAGCTCTTGAACTGCGTGGTAAACGTCTTGCGAACCCACTCCATATAAGTCTTCCACTTGTGACTCTCACCCGTGATCTCAGCATTCGGGAACGCCTTGCTGATATCCCGCGTGATCTTGAGGACACCCATGGATGCTTCCTGTGCCTTTTCGATTTCCTGCTTGACGGCGTTGTCCTTGGGCTTGAAGGAAAGGACGGCAGTGTACCGCTCTGCCAGCGGGTCGAGGTAGCGTTGTGTCTCCTCTGGTGCGAGAGGAATGAGCTTGGAGGTCATTAGGTTGCAGATGGTGCGGATGTCTTGTTCATCTTCGATTCCGGCAAGAATGCGGTCGTAGAATTCTGAAACGTAGGCGCGCGAGAAGGCGGTGTCGAGGGAGGCGTAGAGGGTTTCATAGGCGCTCTGTTCACAGTTAGCTGTCTATCCAGAAAACTTAATTACCCTGAGGAATGGATTGCATTGACCTTCCGCAGCTCAAGACCGTCGTCAACCTTATGTTTGAATGGGCCCATCTGGACCTGGCGGATGAGTTCCGGCTTGACATGAGTGTCACCGAAGACAGCCGGGAGCAGTTCGTTAAGATGAGGAAGAATTATTTTCATCTTGTTGTGAATTGCAGAGTTGAGGGTTGTCAGAGCCAGACGATGGTTACCCAGATCCCGGTCGCCGAGCATGTTGACCAACAGCGGCACGATCAACGGTCTCAAAACGTCACTGTAGGTATCGCTCGAGTCCGACAGAGTGTAGCGGAAAGCGGAAATCACAACTCCACGGATCGTCGGGTCCTCATTGGAGAGATATTCCTGGATTACGGTCAGTGACTGGACTCCTATAGCGAGATGACGAATAGCATACCTGGAAATGAGGGATGTAGGCAACCGGATCGATCAATGCCAGTCGCCCAACACATTCCGCTCCAATAGCACGGTTGTCCTCTTCCTCCGAGACAACAAGAAGTGCCTGCCACAGCTTCATTGCTGAAGGGGCAACATCGGGACGCACGAGTTCGGGGTGGAGAAGCAACTCTTTCACAGAGTGAAGTAATAAATAGCTTTGTTGGCTGGACTTGGACAATCCATCCATGATGATGGGCAGGTAGGCCTTGACGTTGCCTGCTGCTGCATTACCAAGAGCAGTAGCAGCAGCCAAACGAACCTTATCTGACTTGGAATTGAAATGAGTGATGAATAAGTCAGGAGTCAACGAGCACTTGACGCCCATGCGAAGTCCGATTTCTCCGAGAATGGCGAGAGCAAGACACTTGCGTTGCGCATCCTGAGAGGTTTGCAGTTCTGTCAGGAAATCCTCCATCTTGACCCCCAATTTTGAGCCACCATGCACCAGAAGGGTGCCAATCGCTCTTCCGACAACGGATGTGTCACCGTTGATCCCAACATCCCGCAAAAGCTTTTTCATGAGCTCTGCGCCAGCACCTTCCTCACCAATAACCTTGACCAGAAGCAGCAATGCCCTAAGGACAGTACCAACAAGCGAATGGACGACAATCAAACAGATAGCCGAGACTAGACCGTCATCGACTAAAAACTTAGAATTTCCTGGAACGAGTTTCGCTAGGATTATGAGAGAGGGGGTGAGGAGATGGAAGTCCTCGGCGCTGATGAGCGGCAAAAGACACCCGCTCAATTCCTTCATGGTATTCTGGTCCAAGTGGGCCCTGGTCTTGGAATTCATAGCTAGACTGCGCAGTGCCTCCAAGCTGGCACCCCGGAGAGCACGGTCTGATTTGCGTAGTTGAGCACTGAGTTCCAGTGTCACTTCATTCGCCCACGACGCAGAAACATCCGTCTCACGGCTGCACAAGACCGCGACATCATCAACAGCCCGAACAGCGGAAAGCCGAGTGGTTTCGTTCCTGAGACGATCCACCAGAATGGAAAGACCATGAGATCGTCTCCCAGAAGCGAGAAAAGTGGTCCCTCTTTCTCCAGCAGTCCGTGCTAGGAGAACACCAAAAACGTGGATAGCACGCTGGCGGACTTCAAGGTCAGCACTTGTGTTAGTGATACGGGCAAGAACCACATCGTACAGCTTCTCCAACTGAGGTGCAACATTTTGAGCGCTTGCTGAAATACGAGGTGGTGTGAGAGCTTTCACGATCTGCTCGACAGCACCAAGAGCTTCGCTGCTGACCTTGTAGTTTCGCTCATCAACCGCTCCAATCACACCAGGGATCAGTGCAAGGAGGAATGACAAAAGAGAATCCGAAGTATGCGTTTCAGCAATCGCAGCAATGAGACCAAGAGTTTCGATCTGGAGTGTTCCTGCGCTAACTGCAGTGCCGGACGGTGCTGCTGAACTACCAGAGAGGGAAGATGTTTTGAGTGCATCCACAATAGACCCTTCAATCTGCTGGAGATGTTCTGCCAATCCGCCATAACGGACGAGCGCCAGACTCTTCAATAGAATCACAATTGCTTGCTTCAGAGGCACCGAGGCTTGCTTCCACATCTTCACGACACTCTGCACAATTGTCGGAACCGAGCGTGCCAGATCGGCCTGTGGACCAGACTCTGGAGTTGATGGGTTGATGACTGGTGAATCGACAGCCGACGGGGTGCCAATGCTTGGGTCGAATCCAATACCGCTGGCATCGCTGTCCTGGCGTCTTCTCTTCCGGGAGTTCTTGGAACCGCCGACTGAATCGAACCCACTCGACGTGACAATGACAGCCCCTTCGCTGGTCTTTCGAATAAGTGCTGTCATAGTGGAGATGACTTCTAGTTTGACGCTCTCTTCTCTTTCTTTGTTGAAGCGGGCAATGAGTGCGGGTGCAATCTGCTGGTATAAGGATGCATCGTCCAGTGCCTTTCCTCTACCGTATGTCGAGATGACGCTGTAGAGGAGTTTAGCAGCACATCGCCGGACTTTCCAGCTCATATCATCTACATCGCTATATCCTCCTTCTTCCTCGAAATCCTCAAACTCGTCATCGTCTTCGAGATCAAGCTCTGCGTCGGAGCCATCGTCCTGGGTACCGCCCATCTCTTCGTCCTCTTCATTGTCTGCCACGTTGGGATCGTACTTGAGAAACCTAAGCGCGGAGGTGATAGTATTCGAGAGATATGGCTGCATCTGATGACTGCAGGAGCTGATCAAAGCTTCCAGCGTCACCAGTGTTGTCTCGCGGAGCTCGTCTGCTTGGGGATCGTGCTCGTCATCTTGGGAGTAAACCGACATTGCGTCATTGGACATTTCGACGGCTGGTGCTCGAGCTGCAATGTAGACAGTCCAAATACAGAGTAAATAGACGAGAAAAACAGGGCCGTAGTAGTGGACACCGAGCTGGTTGGAAAGAAGCTCTGGCGCTTCCGTCACTTGGATGGGGCCCCGCGCTAGTCCAAAAAAAGTAATCAGACACCGGAACACAACGGCCGATTTTCCGGTCTTGGCATTAAACAGAGAAAAAGGTATCAAAAGCAGGTTTGGCCGATGGACTAATTGATCACTGCAGGAAATCAAACAGATCGAGGGACGAAGATGCCGATTGAGACTGCTGCTTGGAAGCCAACAATGCCTGTAGTCCTCCCTGTTTCCGTGCTTTGGCCCGTTTCTTGCTGCTGGCGTTCTCTGCTGTCTTGCTGGCTGGCTCAGAAGAAGCAGACTGTTCGGAGACCGTCTTGTCTGTTGAAGTTGCTGTAGTCGAGATAGATTCTTCTACTGTCGTTGTAGGTTTGGCTGGCACCTTGGAACGGACAGGTTCTTTCCGAACCGGCTTAACTGTCCGTCGATGACAGCGGAGGCACTTGTAAATTGTAGCTCCGTCTGTAGAGACTCCTGTACGCTTTAATTTCTTTTTCCTGATCTGGATGGTTTTGCTTGTCTCAGGACTTCTGATGGTACCGCAAGCACCACAACAATATTCCTGGTGGCGCTGATTCAATGACTTGAAATCGTTATGTAGAATGTGGTTATGGCCAGCCAACAGATGAGCCGCGGTCGAAGGGCTCGAAATGTTCAAAGAAGAGGCTGAATCTTTGAGAAAATTCAGTTGAGGTGTGTATTCACTGACAGGCATAGTGTACTTTTTTGTTTGATTTTATTGAGAAAAGATACAAAAATAGCAGTGCTTCTTAATCGCGTAGTTTTGGTGTAGGAGAAGTGAAAGAAAAGCGGCCCAGATAGTCAGCGGATTTCCCCAATTCCTCTCTCTATCCTCTTCTTCTTCTCTTCTCATCCCCCACAATCTTCTACTTTTCCTTTTCCTTTTCCTTTTCCTTTTCCTTTTCCTTTTCCTTTTCTCTGTTTTTCTTTTATCTTATTTTCTTTCTTCCTGCCTCCTGGGCCCATCGAGGAAACAGTTCTCGTTATATGGATTCTTTGCCTTGTTTGAGCTCCGCCGCGTTACTTCGTTCTCTAACTCTTGCCAATCAGCCTTTTGGGCCCTACGTTGGCTTTTCATCCATTGTCAAGTCTTCGAAAGTACGCCTGCGAAATCAGGGCATTCTCGCTCTGAGAATTTTAGGAAACTTCGCAAAATGGTGGCGCTCAACTCGAATTCTCCCTCTGTCAGAGTGGCTTTTGAAGGATGCGTGAGTGATTTTTCGATGCCGTTGCCTTTGTTCCCCTCTACAATACTGACTGAGTCTTTAGGGGCACGGCTGTCTGCATGAGATCTATGCCTCTGTCGGACGATCTGCTACTCTTAAGGGATGGGATGGCGTCGATTTGGTTGTAATTGGAGGTGACTTTCAGGCGAGTTTTTCATCCGCTCTTTTCCCTGTCACTCAGTTCTTCCATGTCTAACTCTTGAATCCAGGCCGTACGCAATTCCAATGACTTGGCTTGTATGGCTGTTCCAATCAAATACCGAGAGATTGGAGACTTCCACGAGTACTACAGCGGAAAGCGAACCGCTCCATACCTGACCATCTTCATAGGCGGCAATCATGAAGCGAGTAATCATCTAACAGAGCTTTACTATGGTGGCTGGGTGGCTCCCAACATCTATTATATGGGTGCTGCCAACGTCCTTCGCTTTGGTCCTCTACGTATTGCTGGCCTCTCAGGCATTTTCAAAGGCTACGACTACAGAAAGCCTCACTTTGAGAGACTTCCTTATAGCGAGGAGGAGAAACGCAGCATATTCCACGTGCGTGAGTTGGATGTACGCAAGCTTCTGCAGATCCGTACGCAGACTGATCTTGGTCTGTCCCACGACTGGCCCAGAGGCATCGAGTATTCTGGTGATTATGAGAGGCTCTTTCGCATAAAAAAAGACTTCCGCCACGATTCAGAGCGAGGCTACCTGGGTAACCCGGCGGCAAAGAACGTTCTCGACCGTCTACGTCCCGCCCATTGGTTTTCTGCGCATTACCACATCAAGTTTACAGGTTCCGTTCAGCATGGCCAGTACACTATCCCCTTTGGGCACAAAGTGCAAGCAACATCTCAACAGGACCCTCTTCAGTCTCAGAAGCTCCCTTACATGTTTGGCATGGACGGCGCCTCGGTTTCCCGAGGCTTGAGTGATTTTATCGAAGGAGGTTCACCTGAGTTCGAAGTGAGACAGCCTGAACTCGAAGAAGGAAAGCACAAGCTAGAGGGAAACCAGCCATCTTCAGCTCATACTGGTAATGAGGTTACGAATACCGAAGCTACTACGCTTAGTTCTGAAACGTCTACGCTGAATCCTGAAGCGACGGCCTTCAATCCCAGCTCAGACGAAAAGCCATCCGATGTAGTGGACCAGCAGACTCCAGAGCACGGCAGTCTGGCGGCAATCTCTATTCAGGGGTCAGGCCAAAATCAGAATGACATATCCCAACAGGATCTCGGCGACACCACGAACCGGATTTCAGCATGGAAGAATTTCCACAGTGTAGCGGCCACCCAGGAAGCCGAGGAGAACTCTCGTTTCTTGTTGGAACAGGACAAAACCCAAGAAGCAGTTCGCAACATACAACACAATTTGACCTGGCGCCAGGTTGACATCGATCATGATGGATCAAGACGGAGGCTAGGTGTGGAGGGGTCTGAATCTGTAGACGGCCCCGAGAGCAAAAAGCAGAAAACTAGTCATGATGCCAGTATCGTGAAAAACGCGGACGAGATTGATTTGGATCTCAGTGATTCTGACCAGGAGGATCAAGCAAAAATTACACCTAGTGTTGAAAGCAAGAAACCTGCGCAGATCTCGGAGAACACTGGAAAGCCTGAAGTGGTGTCTCAGGACATTCGAAACCAACTTCCTGCCAGCTTCGCTCGTCCAGCGCCTGCTCCACAACCTGCTCAGGATATGCCCATCAACGAGCCTTTGCCGGAAGCTATAACAAACACGACAACTCAGTTCCTCGCTCTAGACAAGTGCACACCTCGCCGCGAGTTCCTTCAGCTTCTGGAGCTCCAACCAATTTCTGAACAGGATGGCGTGCAATCTCGGCGTCCTTATCGCTTACAGTATGACAAAGAGTGGTTAGCCATTCTTCGTGTTTTTTCCAACGACCTTCAGTTGGGCGATCCCAGCGCTAACCCCTCTCCCAACAAAGGAGACGCCGTGTACAAGCCCCAGATCATCGAGGAGGAGAAATGGATAGAAGAGAATGTGGTTAAGTCCGGCAGACTGGATATTCCGGAGAATTTCACCATCGTCGCTCCAGTTTATGACCCATCGATCCCTATCACGACACAACAAATGCCGCTAGATTATAATAACCCTCAAACCACCCAGTTTTGCGAACTCATTGGAATTGAGAATAAATTCCATGTTAGTGAAGAAGATCGTCAGGCGCGTGCTGCAGCCGGTCCACGGCCGGATCATTCCAGCAGAGGCGGTGGTGGATCTATGCGACGCGGGTTTGGCCACGGTCGTGGACGTGGAGGCGGTCGCGGCGGCGGAAACCGTCGGTACTGATGCGATGAAGCGTTTGTATGTTTGCGAGCCGTCTCGAGATGATCATCTTGTTTACCATCTCATCGGATCTGTCTCGCCCTCTGAGCTTTTCAAGTCGATTTATGCAGGAAAACCGGATGCTTTTATTTGCGGAGATGTTCTACAGAAGTTGTAACGGGTAGTAGTTTGATCATGGCGATGTATCTATTATTTTCAATGTTTATTTCTGGGTTGCCATAGGATTGCGGTTATGGGATGGGATGTTCCCTACTTTTAATCACATATGCACTAAATCTAACATAGCTAATAATATGAGTAAAATGGATGTAAAATGTACCTGCATACTCAATCTACTCGCAACAAGCAGTTCTAGTCTAACGGAGACCATGAAAGCATCCTACTCAATCTCCTCGATTCTCGGCCGCGCACTCCTTCCAGCCAAAGGATCAACACTCAACCCAGCAATCCTATCACCCAGCTCGAATCTCGGCTCGTTTTGTTCCTCATCTCTCCCCCGTGCCCCAATACCCCACAGCAGCGACTTGTCCGTCCAAGCCTCAAAACTCTCGATCAGAACCCGAATGTGGCCACGAACAATACTATCCGTCTCATGACCCTCTACAAAATGCAATGTCCGGAGCATACGCGGTAGATTTCCGATAGAGCCCTTGCCAGGATTATTAGCTCCCCGGAAAGGATCTTCTGAAAGCGAGAAGCCAAAACCAAGCCCCGTGCTTCCGCGTGTTTCGCGCGCTGTATCGAGGGCTTTGAGGATGTCAAGGAGCAGAACCACACTTGCCCGACGGAGGATTGCAAATTCAGCATCAGGCTCTAGTGTAAGTGTGGCGAGAGCGAGATCCACGGCTGATGATGCGATTTCTGGACCCAAGCCTGCGAAATTTATCTGCACTGCAGATGCGAGGATGGATAAGGCTGACGCGCGGACGCGAAGGTCCTCTGGTTCTTCATCTGACTGGGAACCTGCAGCCCAGGCGGAAATAATATTTGCAGCGTGAGCATTTTGTTCGGGTGATTCAGTATCTTCATCTTCATCCTCGTGCTCTTGGAGATGTTTTCCTAATTCTTCCGTGATCGAGGCAGAAGTCACATTCCAACCAGGTGGCATGGCATTTTCCTTCTCCTTCCGGCGAGCTTCACGCTCTTGTTGTCGCTTTTCTCTCTCGAGTTGTTCTCTGCGCGCCTTTTGCCCTTGCGGTTTGTGACCTCGTCGTCCTGCAACGGATATTATAGCTTCACCTAGTATCTTGCCCGTCTCGCCCGTAAGAGCTTCCCCGAGATCCTGCACGGTACGAAGTATCGATTCACCGATTTTCAGTCGTTGGTCGAGAGTCGCGGTTTCGGAATTGTCCGTGTATCGATCGACGAGCGTTTTGATGATGGTACGCGGGTGTCGCGAAGCAAGGGTTCCGATTAGTTTGATCGCGTTTAGATAGATGAATTCCTCGTTTGCTACTGATTCTGATTCATTTCCTATGATTGATAAGAGGAGAGTTAAGGTAGATGGGATATCGAGGACCGGGGAGGATTTCTTGATCAAATCAGATAGGAGTGAGAAGCCTTCTGCTTGGACTGGTGGGAGGTCAGAGGTAAGGTTTGTTAAAGCTTGACGGTGGATACCGAGGTCGGAAACATTTTTTGATGCTTGGTTTGTTCTGATGTGCCCTGGTGATGCTAGGTGTATATCGAGTAGCATGGAGGCCGTCGTTGATGGTTTCGTGAGTGGTGATGGAAGGTGTGGGACTAGTAGGTCTAGCTGTGTTTTGATGATCTCTAGGACTGGTCGTGTTTCGTTAGACACTGCGAATTCTGGGGAGGCGAGGACGGTAGAAAGTAAACTGAATGCTGTGGATAATGACTCATTCGAGTCATTTTCGCTTGACGATTCTGGTTTTTCTTCATCGTCTTTTTTGACAATGTTGGTCAACGATGCAAGAGATGCATTCTTCGTCTTTGTCCGTATGGACACTCGACCGGATTCGCTATCGATAATCTGTTTGATGAGCTCGAGAACGCGAAGAGGACGACGGGAGAGAGTATCCTTGAAATTATCCAAAAGCTTCTCTGCTAGTTTCGCGCTGACTAGCTTCTGAAGAATGACTTCTGATTCATCTTTCTCGGAAGAAAGCTGCAATTGATCGAGTGGACGCTGTGCAGATGAGTCCTTGACAAGCCAAGTTTCACTCACGTACAGGAATATATCTCCTGTTCGCTCTTCGCTACTTGGATCGGATCCTAGTAACTTAACGAACATCTCAGTGCGAGCCTGTAGCGAGTCCATGAGCTGGATGACGTTGAATTGATCCGTATGAGAAGAATCGCTCTTTTTCAATGATATCTGGCCTTTGGCATCCACTCCGTATGTCCACATAGGGCCTCCATTCCACAGTAGATGATCAACGAGTTTTTTTAACGGTTGCACACCTACGGACACGCCGAAATATGTCTGCAGCAAGGCCATGACCTTTTCATTGAGGGTGGCCTGTTGCTGCTCCATGGCGAAAGAGGCCAACCCCCAGAGAGGAACAAGTATGGGATAGACGAGCCTTTTGACGAGTCCTGGGTTCGGATGTTGAAGTGTCAGAGTCTTCAGCCTGTCGACAGCAAGGTGCAGCATGGATCCGTCAACAAGTGCTTGTTTTGAATAATCGCCACCTGAACCGCCAGAAATTGTCATCCGTTGTCTCGTAAGAGCATCCAACTCTGCGGTTAAAGTTTTAAAGAGCGGTTCCACGAATATCGTATGTCCTATTGTCCCGGGTGCTCCGTACGCCCGTTTGCCCAGAATCCCACTGCCCACGACATATGATGCTGTCTTCTTCAGATCCGGGTCATCTCCATCAAGCAATGACAAGAGCTGAGGTGCAATCGCGGAGAAGTAAGCCACCGGATTCATGTCTTGTGGTACAGAAGATAGTAGTCGTGAGACGTGCATGATAGCCTGCACAGTGAAGTGCGGTCCATTGGATGCTTGATTCTGCGCTTCACGACCCAGCGAAGGCGCGAATTGGGACGTGACAAAAAGGATAGTCTGCAAGACTCCCTCATGACGCAGAGGAATGCGGGATATATAGCTAGAGATTTTTGCCTTGAACCATGGTGCGGTTTCAGACTGGAGGAAGGCTGATAACGTTGGCAAGAGAACGGAACTCGGGGTACTGTAATTTCTTAGCATGTGTGATGATTCAATATCTACATTGGAACATACTCTCCAATGATCCTTGAAGCAGCGTTCTGATGATAATCCCTCCTCTCAGCAGATATACTCTTCGAATTGAAGGCCAAGTCTAGCGACCCACTGATGATATCGCTTAGGATCCGGCCACGCACAACAGGCTGTATGCTAGGCCTCGTATCGAGAGTAATATCAGACAGTGTAAGCAGCATGCGGTCTAACAGCAACTCATCATGAGGCTTGCCACTTGTGGGCGCATCAGACTGTTTGGCAATAACCCCAGCGGGCAAAACGGTAATCACTCTCTGCTGAAGGGGTATTCCCACTCCGGTTGATAGTGATGGGTAAATACCCTCCAGAGATATGAGATCTAGTAGCGCATGGAGAATCCGGCGTCGCTTTGCATCTTCCAGCGCAACATCTTCTGTCTCGGGGATGACTTGTGATTGTTCTTCCTCCCCTGTGAAGGCCACATGGATGCGTGAAAGAATGTCTAATGCCACTCCGATAACAGTATTCCTCACAGCATCATCCAAAGCTGGTTCCGGTAGATTGCTGTTGAGTATATCCAGAAGAGAGTTTCCACGGGATTTCTGAATTTCCTCTTATGTTAGTTAGCTCTAGTTCAAATTTATGATGCTGAGGTCTTGCATGCCTCTTTGAAGAACCGGTTTCAAAAATCCGTTAGCAGCGGCGAATGCCTCTTTGGTCCCTATAGGATCTCCCATTATCCAATACAGTCGACTATACTCCAGGGGCAGTCTCGTCTATCCAGCAAATATCGGGCATTGAGGCGATATATGTCACGTGATATGTACCATGCATAATTCTTGGTCATTTCCAGCCACCGCCTTTAAATATGCACTAACCAAATTCGACCACGTCTGGACAATCACGTGCCAGCGCGTCGCGTCGTATCAACTCCTGTCCCTCAACGATTTCTCTCCTTTTCACCACCAACAACTGCGATATCGATCCCTTTCAAACGACATTGCGAGTGAAAAGTCGAGCTGTCATTCGAACTCTCAGTCGCTATGATTTCTGTTCTTCTCAATGCCTTATCGAACCCAATTTCTACGATGACGCACGGTTGTGTTTCCCTGTTCATTCCTTCGATCGCTTGGTTGCAACTCTCTGCCTGCAGCTGTAGGCGTATTTGTACAAAACCTACCCCCCACATAGCTTTCCAAATCTCATCCTATGCTTTTACAAGCCCACCGAAAGTACTCGTGTCTCCACGATGCCATCTGGTACCGTGCGATAAGAGCTGCCTAGGAGGTGGTTGAGAATTGGGAACCTAACCCTAATACGCTGGGTCGCGTCGCTGCTTCGGCAGCAGTTTCACGGTTTGCGCATGCTGGATACTCTGACTAGTTGAGTCGTTCTGGCTAGGGGCGAGGGGACGAAAAGGTATCCGATGTCCAGAGCCTGCGACAGGGCATTGAAAGACGGTTTACTATGCGTTCTAAGTTCCCAGAAGGGGCACGCGTCGGTTTACCAATGCTGGACGGAGCATGCTGGTCGCAATGGGATGTTTGTTCTATGCCTGAGTGAGGAATCCCTGGAGAGAGTGCAGGTGGAATATGCCGGACACCTCTTTTTTGGGGGCTGTCTTTGGGAGCTTTTACGGCAGTGGAGTGGTTGGCTATGAGGGCAATTTCTTTTGCCCATGATAACGTTTCTATGTTTGCAAACACTGTTCACCATGAATGCAACAATTCTGTCTTGACAGTTGCCCACAAACGGCCAGGAAGTCAGGGCGTCGAAGATCCACTCGTCGGAATCAACTGGGTTTTTTACAGTGCCCAGGCGCTGCTCAGAAAGCTTCGTTGTCGCGAGGTCTTTTGTACTTCTGAACCGAATGGTCCTTTGATAGTGGTTACTCCCTGAGTAATGCCATCAAAGAATTTTGGCTTGTTGCCGTATTCCGGATGGTGTTCAATTTGTGAAACCAGAAATGTCTCCTGTCATGCAGTTACTGTCCCTCTTCAAATATTGGCTGTCAGCTGTCCCGTGCATGTTCCCAACCTCGAGATACCTGGGTATCTTGTACCTGCTCTCCACCTTTTGGTTCCGGCTCTTGTGGCTAGACAACCTCGAGTCGCGGTATCAGCCATAGATTCGTGCTTCGAAAGAAGATCCCGATCGACCGTGTTAACCATCTCTTTGCAATGTAGATTGCAAATAGATTGATGGGCGGCGATAAAATGACAGAATTTTGTGTTTTGTCACCTCCCTTCGGGGAGAAGGAAGCGGTTTTTGTGGATGTTCTTTGTCCGCTTCTCAAAACGCCCTCCAAACCACTCCGGTGATGAGGAGAGGAAACAAAAACTTGTCTCCGGGGGTACTGTACTACACGCGAGATGCTTGCTCCTAGCGGTCTTGGAATGGCACGGATAGTGTGATCCGCGCGTCTAATAGTCTCTGGGAGTTGGGGTGTTGCGAGCAAAATCGACTGGGCATCCTTGGAATGACTCCAGGCTGTCTTCCCTCCTCTGCAACGGACGTGAGAGGACGATTGACGACGCAAGTTGTGTCCATCGAGCTACTGCGGTCTGGTCGTTCTGTTTCTGTTTCAGCAACATGTCGGCATTTGTCGGTTTTTATAAGTTCGTCAATATCTTATTGCTACAAGTTTCTCCGTTGAGGCAAAAAAATTTTCTCTTCGCTCGTAACGTTCTGTCTCGTCTAATATGGCACCTTGTTTGGAGTACTCAGTGGCGAACGGTACCACGCGGGACCTCTCTCGAGTGAGGATCAAAGTCTAGGCTTGTCTGCGTTGTCGCTTGGCCATTGAGCTACTTTTGGACCTTTCAGTGCCGTTCTTAGCGAGTTGAACAACGAGCGAAGAAAGCGCTTCGATATACGAGGATTTGGATGTTGATTGACGGACTCTGGGCTGTTGGATAATAGTTCTGAGGCACCGCAACCGAACGTTTCCGGGCGCAGTTGCTGCTCATGGATCGCCGCTTCTCCTTTGGAGAAAGCGGCCTCTTTTTTTTTTATAAGTCTCCCCTTCCCGGTTGCTTTGACATAGCTAACTACTGTCAGTTATCGGCGCATGTGCGATTATGCGGGGCATGTTGATGCGTTGATATGGGGATGCACGGACGTATCAGAGCAAATTAAGCTAAATACAATGCAGTTCTGCAATCATTCCCTGCAATAGTTTCCCATGATGAATGTAGCCCTATTTGACCTCGTAGTTGTACCCCAAATTTCGCCGTCTGACTAATCTCCCCGCCCCGCCACTGGCGATAAGTGGAAGCCCAAGGAACATTCCCGCGATTTTTTCTTTCCTCCGGCTTTTGTATATTTTGTGACAGTCTAAAAAAGTATATAATCCTGTCGCATTACTCTCTTCTCTTAGAGATCCTTCTTCTCTTTCAGTCTTGAGTTTGTCGTTGCTATCTTGGTCGCGAGTAATTTTAATCTTATCGCTTGCCACCCCGCTTTTTTTTTTTTTTTTTTTTGAAGTCTTCTTCGCATCGCCGAAGTCAGTCACATACCCTACACCTATCAGACAGACACAGACACAGACTCCATCATGTCCGGAGACACTCAGACGAACGATGCCTCGCAGTCGGCCTTCCAGAAGCCCGGTGACTTGGTGGACAGAAACGATGATACTGGTGTTATGCAGCTGGAGAGTCTTTGCATGAACTGCCATGAAAATGTATGCTTCCATGGTTTTTTCTAAATGCCTTTTGCATTGAGATACTAACAAATAACACAGGGAATGACCAAGCTCCTTCTCCTTCGTGTTCCTTTTTTCCGCGACATCATCCTCGAATCCTTCGAATGCGAGCACTGCAATTTCCGTAACAACTCCGTCAAGTCAGCGGGTCAAATCCAGGAACAAGGGTCGATGTACACCTTAAACGTGGAGGGCGATGAGGATCTCCGGCGCCAGGTTATCCGCAGCGACACCTCAACCTTCAAGCTCGAGTCACTTGGCATCGAGATGCCCAAGGGCGACAGCCAGATGACAACGGTGGAGGGTGTGATCGCACGGATCCACGACAACCTTGCCAGTGAGCAACCGCTGCGCAAGACTCAGGCCCCCGAATTGCACGATGCGCTAGCTCCCATCATTGAGAGGCTCGAGAAGATGATGAACCGCGAGGAATTCCCGTTCATTATCTCCCTCGACGACCCGACTGGTAACTCATGGATCGCACCGAACCCGCTCGACAAGGGTGCGAAGTACAGGCGTCGCGACTACCCCCGTACCCACGAACAGAACGAAGAACTCGGTATCGCTGGCGACGCGGCGGCTGTGGCTGCTGAAACCGCGGAGATTGACGCTGATGACTCTGAAATTGTCGACGGCAAGGTCTACAGCCTTCCCTCCGAGTGCCCTGGCTGCTCGAAGTCTTGCTTCGTCAACATGAAGAAGGTCAACATCCCCTACTTCAAGGAAGTCTACCTGTGGGGTACCGTCTGCGAGCACTGCGGATACCGTACCAGCGACGTCAAGACCGGTGGTGAAGTCCCCGAGAAGGGCAAGAAAATCACCCTTCGCGTCGAGAACGCAATCGATCTCTCCCGCGATATCCTCAAATCCGACACCTGCGCCCTGCACTCCGATGAGCTCGAAGTCACCGTCGAGCCTGGTACCTTGGGCGGCCGTTTCACCACCGTCGAGGGTCTCCTCACTGAAATCCGTGACCAGCTGAAGGGCCAGATCTACGACGTCGACGACACCGCCCAGACCGGAGGTGACAGCATGGAGTCCTCTGACAAGGACAAGTGGGCGCGTTTCTTCTCCCGTCTTGACTCGGCAATCGAGGGCAAGATGCCTTTCGTCATTACCCTCCAGGACCCCCTGGCCAACAGCTACGTCCAGGATCTGTCTGCGCCTGCTGCGGATCCCCAGCTTACCATCGTCGAGTACACGCGGACTGACGAGGAGGAGGACGACCTTGGCCTGAAGGATATGAAGACTGAAGGGTACGAGGAGGATGCTGAGAAGAAGGACCAGGGTAATGGCGAGCAGAAGTCCTGATCTGATACCCTTGTTTTCCTTGATTTATTTATGATGTGCATGATGTTCTTAATGTCTCCCTTTCTCTGATATCTTTCTTAACGCATACGTTGATTGCATGATGATGGCGTGTCTCAGGCCTTGTATATGGTCTATTTCTTTCAAAATGGGGTCGTTTCATATACCAGTTGGGGTTTGATTCAGTTGGTTAAATGGTTCATAAAAGTTCGACAAATGACATTTTGGTCCTTACAGTTGAATTATACTGCTATGATGCTTGCATTTGAATACCTAAGAACTTACCTATTGTAGTAGAAGCACACGTATTCAGCTGCTTATCAAAACTCCGCCGTACTAGATTCAATCTTCATTTGAGCATCTACCACCGTAACTTGGTCTCATTCCACTCGTTGCAAACCACCTGGAATGTCTTATGTAAGTCTCCGTCGGTCCATATCGTCGTAGACTTTAATGGACTCCTTTAACCGGTGGCAGAAAGCTAGTGCTGACCAGCACTTAGTACGTCGTATAATTCATGTCTTTTTCTTTTTCTTTTTCTTCCACCCCAAGTAGCCATTTTACCTAAGAAGGCCTGTTTTTGTTCTTATTAAAGATGAACCGCCCTTCACTCTTTGAAACACCATATCCTGGCACTGTTCTGGCTGTCGAAGAGTCTTACGACAAGTTCAATATACCATGCAAGAGACGTCAAGAATTGTTATATGATCCCAGCAAAGCGCTTAGGGCCAATGAGGTCCCAGATCCATTCAGGGCATGTGTCCGGGTGTGTGACCTGGGCCAGCTTGATGTTATAGTCAACAATTCTCGCCATGCCCTTGTTTTTTTCATGTCTTTTGCACAACATTGCAGTCACCAGAGACCAATATTGTGGCTACAAGAAGATCAGGAAACTGATAGAGACTCTGTCTCATCATTCTCTATCTCAACGGACAGCCTGATTGTCATAATCGATTTTTTAATAAAGCCTGGACTGGGAGTGTATCATGAGGTGAGAACTGGGGACAAAATTTTCCTTAAATATGCGGAACATCTTCCCTTCCCCAACAAGGAGCTTCTTGAGTTGCAGTTTCGTTGAAAGAAAATAGCATCTATGGCTGACCTTGTTTTGTATTATAGCTCGGATTTGCATATATACTTACATTGTATAGTCCCTAATACAAGTGTAGAGTGATACAATCACAATAGTACTTTGAATTGGACATATTGAGCAAGGATGGTATAGCAGGAATATACATACATTTGTCTATTTACATAGTTAAGCAAGCTCATTTCAACGACGTGCAGCCGCGGCCTGGTCGGCTTCTGTCTAACCACCGTCTGTAGACCATCCGTAATTCGAGTCTTGATATGGGCGTGCTGAAGGGATTCCCATCAATAAGAGGTAATCCCAGCTGACAGAGCGCTAGGGTGACCGCAAGGCACTGCAGGTTAGATTGGCGTCTTCTATACCATGCTCCAGCTTGCCATCGTGTCATATTATATCCCGACGACTTCGTCCTCATTAACGTAAACCTCGGTCTTCAAAGCAGCTCACCCAGCAAACGGATTCGCATGAATCGTCACCTTATTAATCCGCAAAGCCTCGTGCTCCTCCTCCTGTCCCTCTTTAGGCTGCACAACCCTCCCTTTCTTATCAATCTTCACATTAGCACCCTCCAGCCTCGCCAACACATCCCCGCCTTCATCCTGCGCCGTCAGGTTCAACACCTTTCCAAACACCGTACTCGCCCCATCCAAATGCGGCGCGGCCGCAAGCGTGACAAAGAACTGACTTCCATTGATTGTTGTACCAGTCGCGCCCTGAAACCCCGGTGCTGTTCGGTCCTTCACCGGCCGGGATGCCATAGATAGCATCCCGCGGGTATGGTGTCGGAGGGCGGGGAGACTGATTTCCTGATTCAGCGCGGAGGGATGGAATATCGAGGTGCCGGACTTGGGGATTTCGAAGGGGAGGACGGGTTTTGTTGACGTTTCGGGGGAGGAGTGCGCTGCGTCGCCGAGAGAGATGTCGCCGCCTTGGATCATGAAGCCAGGGATTAAGCGGTGGAACGGGGTGTTGTTGTATGCACCGGTCGCGCAGAGGGCGAGGAAGTTCTAATTGTTTGTTAGCATTTGAGGTCCATGATCGGGTCAAATATACATACTTGTGCTGTTTGGGGAACGGCTTCGCAAAAGAGCTCGACCTTGAGGTCGCCGTGGGTGGTATGTAGCTGTTACCGTCAGCGTTTGTGCCGTGCGGAATAGATCCAGTCGCGACTCACTGTGACGGACATTGTTGCGCCGTATATTTATTCCGAAGAGCTGTAAGTATCAGGATGGAACGAAACTATGAAATCAATCCTAGTCTCCAACTTGACAATGTCGGACGCGGCAGAATATCAACACGTCCAAAGGCGGTGAGATGGTCTGTTCCTACCACTTCCTTATACGGAAACGAGCAACTAGGGTTCGGTCTAGCGAACTAAGCATACGGTTGGTCTCTTATTAGGAGTTTTTATATGTATTATTTTGTAACCGAAAGCTTGATGATCATCTCCTGGAAATTTCTACAGACAGGTTTCAGATAGAAATGTAAAATACTGGAGAGTATATATATGTTAATTTAAGCATCCCAGCTGAGAACAGCACGGTATCGCATCTTCCCATCCCTCAATCTAGTTGCAGCTTCAATAACTCCCTTCAGGGTCATAGGATACTTCTCAACGATGCTATAGATCCGGTGGCGCGCAGCAAAGTCAAGCATTCTGCTCCTGTTTCTCGTTAGCTCTCTTCCCAAAAGATCTAGCAAAAGCACATACTGAGGGTGACGACTACAAATACAGCTGCCCACAATGCTATTTCCGAACATAATCGTGGGCATATACGGAGCAGTCAAGTCTCCACCATCGACAGACAAGGGGAGAATAGTAGCATTGCGAGCCAACACAGGATAGAACAGGCCCAGATTAAACTTGGCCGAAGTTGTGATCAAAAGACGGTCGACTGGTTTTGGCACGTTGAGTTGGTCATAGTCCGATACTCCTTTTGTCGCGTAAAACTCGCTAGCACCGAGCTTCAGGGCCTCTTCACGCTTGTCCTCGGTGGATGAGAAGACAATGACATCGCAGCCCATTCTCGCTGCGAATTGAATGGCAAGGTGGCCGAGACCGCCAATTCTGACAATACCGACACGTTCATAAGCCTTGCAGTGCTCGATTAATGGCACCCAGATGGTACCGCCACCGCCTTGTATAGGTTAGTCCTTTGTCCATTTGCGATTGAGGTCGGCTTACACATTGAAGGAGCAGCATCGACAGAGGAAATAGCATCGGGGATTTTGAATAGCCATTGCTCCTTACGGACTGTGTGGCTGCAGACAGAACCATTGGTCTCAAAGTCATGGAATCCGTAGTACTTGGCATTGAAGCAATATGCGTCCTTTCCGGTGGTGCACATGTCGCAGTTTCCACATGTCGAGCTGGCGGGGCCCCAACCGACACGGTCACCGACGGTCACCTGGGTGCAAGCCACTCCGACTTTTTCGACAACTCCAATACCTGCATAGAGTTAATCGATGTCGCTCCATCCTGCATAACGTATACTCGCCTTCATGACCAAGCACCAACGGTTGCGTGAGCATGTGGATATCACTCCCATAGAGGCCACTTGGGTAACCTTCACCTGGACTTCATCAGGCTGAATATCTGGAAGTTCAGAAGTCTTCTGAATAATTTCTCCAGAAGGTGAGCCACGGAATTGGATAGCTTGGACCATTGTGCAACTGATATCTCGCGACGGATAGTTTAAAGCTTGGTCTGATGGACTTCAGTCCTCAAGGTAGCAGCATGGCATTATATAGTCTGTTTCTCTCAATTGTAAGTAAATTCGTCTACCTCTTGTCATCTTCCTGATTCCTTATCGTATGGGTATCCTTCAATTCCGCAAACCCCGTGTCATCGCGATGACCGATGATGGTCCGAGCGAAACTTTGTATACAAAATACAACTATACCAGCACCGTGAAGCTAACTTACACCGTGGATAACGAGGTTCGCCATTACCCTTTTAATAATTTTTCTCAGAATATCCACATGAAAAACCCCATCCAAATCCAGATACTCTGGCCGCGTATACAAAGTCATCATATCAAGATTTCCCTTATCAACACTATTAAACAACTGAGACGAGTCCTTAGACTGCACACGCCACTTCTACCAAACCTCATCATCTGTAACATCAGTCTGGCCCAGAATATGGAATTCCTGCTCAGCGTTTTCGAGCATTTGTGCCCAGATTTCTCCTTCCATGCAGTACTGCATGATCATGGTCGATTCATGGGAGAACCGCTCATCGAGCTTAACAATCAAATATTGTGTAAGGCCGCCTCTATTTCCTGTGCGTCTGAGGTCTTCCACCTCGTGGTGGGTATAAAACGGAGTTCAGTATCGGTGGCATCTTTGCAGCCGATGAAGGGCTGAACTGGCGGCTCAGTTTCCCAATTATCGAAACGGACGTGATCCAGTGTGCGAACTAGGCTGAGGATGTTTCCAAATCTTCTATCTCCGGTGAATTCGGTCATGAATTGGTTGATTGTCATGAGGCGCAATCAGCGATTCCAAATTGTCAAATATTCTAGTCTCGGAAGGTATTTCCATACTGTTTCTGGTACATCTTCGGCGCAGAATAGAAAAAGAAGAGGGGCTAGACTACATAAAAAATGTACTTGTAACGAAAATCTTCCGGAAATTGAAGTGTATTGTATTGTACGGTTAAATGGTATGGATGGTATATCAGATTTGTATCAGTAATCTATGGTAACTATAGGCTTCTTCGCTGCAAACCCGTTAAACAAGCCAAAGCAGGTGCCTTGTAGTGTGGCAACCTGTTAACATTTCTCTTGTCTGTACTGAGCCTCAGATTAACCAAGACGGGTCGGGCTCTACAATACCGTTACCTTAACGCGTGGCGGGTATGGGCCACAGTTTGCAAGAAAACAATAGCAACAGCCACGCATCTTATAACATTTCTTGGTAGTGAAGGTCGTGAACTTCAACGATGTAAAACCTGCAATCAAGAGTGGCTTTGACAGGCCAAATTTTCCATGGTCGACTATCCCACGCGCCTTAATTTAACTAGACGATTCCTTCTCTCATCCTGTAAACTGGAGGAAGCAGTAATCCTCTGTTGAATTATCATAAGCCGCAGAACAAAGGCCCATAAGTGCCCCCTTTTTGCGAGGCCTGATGTTCAACCTTATAAACACATACGTGTTCAGACAAGCACACCTGCAATATCTGAGAAGCTGCCTCGTGTATCCTCAGAAGCAGCATGTTTAGCATGGTAGTCCGCATCGGTATTCCAACCTCTTGGAATATGCCAGAATTTGACTTGAAGGCCATGGCCATCCTTTCGTTCTATTTCTCCAAGTAAACACTCCCAAAGGTCCCGGTTCTTGACCGCTGCTCCTGTGCTCGTCCTCCAGCCTCTCCGTAGCCATCCACGTACCCAGGATGTCACGCCCTCAACAACATATTCGGAATCCGTCGCAATCACGAGACTGTTGAACCCTTCACCGGACCAGGACCGGAATCGTAAAGCTGCAATAACGGCGCGTAGCTCTGCCCGGTTGCTTGTTTGCGGATGAACTTCACCAGTAGGCCCTCCATTTTCAAGGGGAAAGCGTATGTAGCCAGGGCGTTGAGGTTGTTGTGTGGAAGGCTTGAAAACAAAGCTACAGCCAGCTCTGGGGTTCACTCTGCCGTTGTCTAAGCATGCACCGTCCGTGTAGATAAGGAATTGTTTGGAGTTGGTTGGATGAATGAACCGGCACACAGGTGGTATGGCTCTTTCACTGATTCGAGGTGGGAAAAGTGACTGCGGAGTATCACTGGTACTAGCAGGGTGAAACTTTTTAGGAATGACACGTCCAGTGCCGACTCTGAGAGTTCCAGAAATAATGTCACTTATTGTCTCCTCATCGCTCACATGATCATCTTCAAAGCCTTCATTTTCTTCCATGGTTTCTTCCATGAAGCTATAATCAACAGTGCAGATGGGACAGATTATGAGCCGGTGCAGGCCACACACTAGACGACCATTGGGAAGCTCGACAGGGCTGTCTGGGCGAAAAGACATCTTTCAGGCCAGTTGTTGAATGGAACAGCCAAGGCGCAAATCATCGGCAGTAGAATGTTCGTGTGATATTCGACTTTTTCTTTTGAGGAATTTGAGGATGAGAGAGTCTGATATTTCCTTGTAGAGTGAGTCAGGACCGTTTGAATGCTTGGGGGGATGTGTTTGATGAGATCTGATAGGTCGGATCAAAGGGATAACGTTAGTCCGACTAGCGAACCTCCGATATATGGCCAGCGTTCGCCACATATAGATAGTCAAGCACTCATCAAGCACTCAAGCACCCGTGTACTCTAGGCTACATTAGATAGAGTATATCAATCGTTTGTTTTAATTGGGTCTTCTACATATAGGCCTCGTGCAGTCGGATGATCGACTCCTCCGGTTTCCCCTGAACCTCCGACGGAACC